CACCCACCCACCAACCAAGATCTACACAACAGACCCCCAGTTTCTTATCTTCGAGATAGAACCAAGTCTATACTAATACTACGCAGTCAACCAGAACCTGACTGCAGACATGACAGACAGGACACGCACTGGGACCGTATTATGGAGCGATATACATACTCGTACAGGTATCTTATATATAATATAATAATATATATATATATATATGTGTGTGTGTGTGTGTGTGTGTATGTATCTACTAGCTCAGAATATTAATGGGCCGGAACGAGCAGATGGTCAACATATTCATCCATAATTTAAGACTCCATCTCCCCCAGACTTTTCTCTTTTTAAGAAAAGTCTTTTCCCTTCTTTCTTCTGCTTCTCCTTCTACTCTTGCCCCCTGCTCTCCTGCTCTACAACAGTCTGGGAAGTGGATTCCTTCTTTTTTCCCTCCTCTTCCTCCTGTCCTCCCGCTTGTATCTCTGGGATCTCAAATCACTCTCCATCTCCCTAGATGATGATTCCCAACCTCGACTACATTGAATAGATAAAACGCAGTAATCCAAACTCATACTCGCTCTCGACTCTCACCACCCCTCCCCTCCCCTCCCCCTCTCGACGACGACGACGACGACAACAAGAGACCGAGTCTCCCTGATTCTCTGCAAGATAACTAGAAAGACCGAAAGACCGAAACAAGACAGAAGAACAAGAAGAAGAACACACCAGCAAGCGTCAACATGTCGTACGCTTGGGTCGGTGCCCCGGCCGTATTCAATGGCACAGATGAAGAGACGGGCGGGAACCCTCGTACGTCACTCTCTCCCTCTCTCCCTCTCTTCCTCTCCTCTTGATATCTTCTCCTCCCCTTCTCCCCCTGGCTTGAAGAAAGAAAGGAAGGAAGAAGAGATGCAAGATAAAGGGGAGGATAAAAGATACCAAGAAAAAAAAAAGGAAAAAAAAAAAGAGAAGAGGAAGCCAAAAACGAACCGACGAAAGGAGAGACTGACGTGGAACGAAAATAGGCGTCGACAACCTGAACCAATGGTTCCAGTCAGGTGATCAGGCGTACATCATCCTGTCCTCGGCCCTGGTGATGCTCATGGTGCCCGGCATCGCCTTCCTCTACTCCGGACTGGCGCGGCGCAAGTCGGCGCTGTCGATGCTGTGGGTGGTCATGATGTCGTTCAGCGTCGTCGTCTTCCAGTGGTACTTCTGGGGCTACTCGCTCGCCTTCAGCGGCACGGCCGGCAACCCCTTCATCGGGGACCTGCACAACTTCGCGCTCCGGAACGTGCTGGGGGCGCCCTCGGCCGGGTCGGCCCTCGTGCCCGGCCTGCTCTACTCCTTCTACCAGATGATGTTCTGCGCCGTGACGGCGGCGCTGACGGTCGGGGCCGTGGCCGAGCGCGGCCGGGTCGTGCCCTCCATGGTCTTCGTCTTCTGCTGGGCCACGCTGGTCTACTGCCCGCTGGCGTACTGGGTCTGGAACGCGAACGGCTGGCTCTTCAAGGCCGGCGTGCTCGACTACGCCGGCGGCGTGCCGGTCGAGATCGGCTCCGGCATGTCCGCCCTGGCCTACTCGTGGGTGCTGGGCCGCCGCAACGACCGGATGATGACCAACTTCAGGCCCCACAACATCTCGCTCATCACCCTCGGCACCGTCCTCCTCTGGTTCGGCTGGCTGGGCTTCAACGGCGGCTCCGCCTTCGGCGCCAACCTGCGCGCCGTCATGGCCAGCTGGAACTCGTGCCTGACCGCCATGTTCGCCGCCGTCACCTGGTGCGTGCTCGACTTCCGCCTGGCCCGCAAGTGGTCCATGGTCGGCTGGTGCTCCGGCACCATCTCCGGCCTCGTCGCCGCCACCCCGGCCTCGGGCTTCATCGACCCCTGGGCCAGCATCGTCCTCGGCGTCGCCGCCGGCGTCGCCTGCAACTTCGCCACCAAGATCAAGTTCCTCGTCGGCATCGACGACTCCCTCGACGTCTTCGCCGAGCACGGCGTCGGCGGCATCGTCGGCCTCGTCTTCAACGCCTTCTTCGCCACCGGCCGCGTCTACGGCCTCGACGGCGTCAACACCGGCGCCACCGGCGGCTTCCTGGACGGCAACCACGTCATACTCGGATGGCAGATCGCCGCCATCGTCTCCGCCTGCGCCTACAGCTTCGTCATGTCCGCCACCATCGCCAAGATCATCGACCTCGTCCCCGGCCTCAAGCTCCGCGCCTCCGAGGAGGCCGAGCTCATGGGCATGGACGACGACCAGCACGGCGAGTTCTCCTACGACTACGTCGAGGTCCGCCGCGACTTCCTCGCCTGGAGCCCCCGCCGCGACGAGCCCGCCATGGACGGCGACGTCCACGAGCCCCACCACGGCATCCGGGAGCACGCCCACCTCGCCACGCCCCCCTCCTCCTCCGGTCCCGACGACGTCGCCGATCAGAAGGCCAGGGGCTCCGACGCTCAGCCTCAGCAGCCGCCCCCGCTCGCTGCCGAGACCCTTACCGCTCCTGCCGAGATTGTAGATGAGAAGCGGGCATGATCTCTCTCTACCCTCCTACCCTCTCTCTCCCTCTCCCTCTCCCTCGCATCACCGCGCTTCTTCTTCATCTCACCACTTGCAAATACCCTCGTCGCTTAAAGAGTCGTTTCTCCTCCTAGCCTTACTATATTTTCCTTATCTTCTTGAAACCTTCTTTGTCTATCTACATCTTTCTCTCTCGCAAAAGGAAATAAACAACCTTATTGGAAGCGAGCATGGGCGTTTTTTTTTCCCTCCCCCCCCCCCTTTTGCTTTTATTTTTGGACATCTTTTCCCCCTCTCTTCTCTCTTCGATTGGAACATGTTTATCTTTTTCTCTTCTTCACAGATGAAAGAATTTCTGTATATTATCTTGATGGTTATTACAAAGGGACTATCAGACTCCCTCAGAGACACGGACAGGATGGACCCACGGAGGGTTGAAGACGGGATGACAAATGAAGAAAACTTTGAAAAATGACTTGGTCCTGTGATTTTTCCCTTTTTCTATTTTGAGGACTTGATAATACGGCATCTGCATTGTGCTCTCGTTTCTCTGTAAAACGTACTCCTTACAAGTTTGCAAGAAACTTGAGATGAAGTTTCAAGTGTCCAGAGCGTACGTAACAAACAAACCAAAAAAAAAAAAAGTCGAAAAAAAATCGAACGGTACAGATACACATACACACACATATATGATATGCCAGGCCAAATACCGGGGGAAAAAAACGAATGCGTAATCTGGGAATCGAACCCAGGGCTCCCCGACGCTGCTCGGATGGCAACGGAGAATTTTACCACTAAACCAATTACGCCTGTGGTCGTTGTTGAAGGACTTGGTATTGGTTGGGTTAATGAGACGTCGATATCGTCATGCACTTGGCTGGTCTCGTACACAAGCTCTTTTTTTCTTTTTCTTCTCCCCTTCTTCTCGTTTTCTTCTCTTTCTTCTTCTTCTTTCTCTACCGAGTAGTCTTGCTCATCAGTTATCTCCTTTCATACCCTTCTCATCGCCGGCAGCAGACTCTCCTCTGTTCGTATACTTGATGTAAAGACATGAGCGCGCCCGTGATACCTTGGCTATTACTAGTAGTAGCACACACACATACACACACACACATATATATATATACAAAAGTATGTGTGTGTGTGTGTGTGTGTCCTGAGTATGAAATCGTGCAATTTTCTCGGCCCCATCTCAAAGACGCCTAGAAAGAAAGAACGGTGTTTTCTTTCTTTCATTCTTTTCTTTTTTTTTTAAAAAAAAAAAAAACAGAAACAGAAGAAACAGGGTCTATGGATATAAAACTGATACACAAAATCTATTGCCTCTCTCCCATCAAACCCCAATCAGAGAGCATCTATTCGATCGGAGCTCCGTCGGTAAAATCCCCATACTTCCCGGTAGGATACTCCCCGAAGCAAGCGTCATCGTACCGGGCCAGATCCTCCATGCCGGCCTGGACGTCGAGGAAGGTGCCGAGCTCGCACCAGCCGTCCTTCCTGTCGGGGTCGCACTCGGGGAAGCTCCTGCCTAGCGGCAGGGTGCGCTGGTTGAGCACGAAGTGGACGTAGTGCGTCTCCCCGCCGCGCAGGTAGCCGTCGCGGTTGGGTGACAGCGGCTGCGGCGTCCTGATGATCTCGATGTCGAGGCGGGCGCCGAACGGCGTGACGTCGGCGACTGTGAAGGCGTGCGGGCCCGGGTACTCGGTGGCCGGCATGGGGTCCCGGGCGAACTGGCGGAGGCCGAAGGCGGTCAGGATGGAGACGATGTTGGTGTCGTGCGAGAAGTCAAAGTACAGGCTCTGGTTGAGGGGGAAGGTCTCGATGTTGTCGTCGAGGGTGACGTTGATCTGGGAACCCGAGTAGCCTAGCGTGTGGTTATGCAGGCGGGCCATGACTTCTTGCTGGTATCCTATCCCCACGGCTCTCTGTTCACGTCAGCTTTTTTTCCTTTCTGTGCAACCTCTCCCTTATTCTTCTTTGTTTTTTTTTTTCGTTTTTTTTTCTGAGAAAAAAAAGATCCAATCTCTCTCTTCTTTCCTTCTGTCCTTCCTCTCTTCCTTTTATTCTCTCTGGCATCATACCTGGGAAGAGAAGTATGTTGAGAGGATGAGAAGAGTAAGACGAGAGCATGCATGAGAAGAGTATGACCAAAAAAAAAAAAACAACTGAGTGAACAGAACGGGGTAGGGGGGGGGGGAGAAGAGAGAGAAAGCATACCCCAGTAGGACTATAGAATCCGTTGCTTCCATAAAAGTACAAGTCGATAGAGTACCCAAACCCCTGCCACTCTTCATACGTAAAGAGGTCGCAGAACTTGCTGTACCCATACGCCACCGTCTCGTACGGACACATGTTTTGCGCGGCGTAGACGTCTTCGGGAGTCCAGTCGAATCCCTCCGTCATGGAGTTGAATCGTTTGGTTGCTATATTTTGCGCATCGCATCAGACACTCCTCTCAGGAATGAGACCCAGCGGACATATATATATATATGATATATGAGAGGATGGAGGAGAAAGAAACAAGAGAACAATTCACATGTGGACGGAACATACCATCCTTCAGATACGTGTTGACCCAGGTACTGGCCGCTTCCTTACCGGTCCCCTTGGGTGATGCGTTGGGACAGTTGAGGGATCCGGCGAGGGAGTTGTTGTATCCCTTCTCCTCGATGATGACTTCGATGGTGGCATTGTTTGTCCTGTCGTCTTGCCCTGTCAGTTCTCTCCTCTCCTCTCTCTCTCTCTCTCTCTCCTCTACCTCCCCCCTATTCTTTTCCTTTCTTCTTTTCCAGCGTCGAGAGTGTAAAAATAAATAAATAAATAAAAAATGAATAAATAAAAATAAAGCCAAAAGAGGGGGGGGGGGGGGGGGGGGGGGGGGGAGGCAAAACCCACCATTCAAGTCCAAAGAATCCGGCCAGCCCTAGCTCGGCCGACTTCAACATCCGATCCTGCGTCTGCGCATGAAACAAGAGAAGGAAAGAAAGATCAGCACAGTAACCCGACCACACGACAGGGAGCCCCGAACGTACCGTCGTCCGAACGATCAACTTGCTGTTGGTGTTATACAACCCCCCATACATGTAGCTGTGCAGCACCCCGGAATCGTACAGCTCCTGCCGTCCCTTGGGCACGAGAATCTCGTGGCCGAGGCCGTAGTCCCAGTCTGCGAGGAAGCCGAGAGCACCCTTCGGTCTGAAGCCGTGGCCGGCGTCGCGGATCTTCCTCCCCAGCTCGGCCACGTCCGCTCCGGAGGTGGGATACCGCGCCCCGTGCCTGGAGAGCATCTGGACCTGCACGATCTCCGCCCCCGCGGGCAGCGGATACTCGTCCACGCCGAAGCCGGAAGACGGCTTGTACGGGGACAGGTATCCCATCATGTGAAAGATGGGCGTCGTCTCGTCGGGCCCGGCCCCACCGGAGACCGGTATGTCCGTCTGGAGAGGCTGGTTGGGGACGTACGTCGCCGTAGGCTCGAACGTGCGCGTCTGCGCCATGCCCGCCTGCCGACCCGTTGCCGTCGGACCGGCCCAGAGCTGCGGTGAGGTCTGGAAATACTGAGGCGGTCTGTCCCCCTCGCCGTCGCACGGTGACGAGCCGCGTCCGAAGGAGTACGTCAGGGATGTGTACAGGTTGGTCGACAGGAGGATCACGACCAGGAGACTCAGGCCGTACGTGGCGTTGCGGAACCGGTTGTCTGGCCGGTAGAGGTGGTGACGACCGTGGGATGTCTTGCTACCGGGCCGGGCGAGCCCGTACTCGACCTCCTTCTCCACCTCTGAATCATACGACTCGTCATGGTCGTCGTGGTCGTCGTGGTCGTCGTGGTCGTCGTCGTGGGTCCCTACAGCTTCATATCGTGTCGGTGGTCCCTTGGACGTGCTGCGCCCGGGTGCACCGGCATCGACCATGACTGGAGGGGGGGGGGGGAAGAGAGAGAGAGAGAGAGAGAGAGAGAGTAGACACACCAGATGAGTAATGTGCTCTCATATAAGATAAAAACGTACTCTCATATCAAGGAGAGAGAGATGGTGGTTGGAAGAGGATGGATGCATCGATTTGATGAACAGACGTGAGCATGTCGCAAAGCCAAACAGCACAACACCACCCCCCCCCCTCCCTCCTCTCCCTCCCTCTCCCTCTTTCCCCCCCAATCCTGGGTCTCTACTGTCGGAGTTCCCCACACAGTTTCCGTAATTTCACGTCTGAGCACTGATATGTACGGGGAAAGACGCTCTAGGGACTGTGCATAGACACTGTGCTACCAGCATGCCTCTCTCTCTCTCTCATACTCCGTACTCCTCCTCCATAGTATTTATTGCATGCACAGCCAAACTCTCTCTCCCTTGACATCATGACCAGCACTCTCTGATCCGGTTGTCGATGGACAGGCGGGAACTAGATCAGATGAATACGATGAATCACGTCGCATGATTAACACACCCTCTTCTGGAAGAACATGGTGGGAGAAGAAGAAGGAGAGAAGACCACATCTACTCCGTATCTCCTTTTACCCGCCCAAAAGCCCGGTGCACTATCTTGCGGCTTGCAGGACGCGGGACGCTCCGCTCTACGGACCGCATGCCATGACTGCATGTCGCGACAACGACCAACACACACACACACGCACGCACGTACGCACGCACACACGCAGACGTCGATTTCAAAATCAATTTTTCTGTTCAGTGACATGGACAAGAACAAAAGAAAAATTTAATCGTCTCGTACTCTTCTGTTGACGGCAAGCTTCCACCTGCTCTCATCCTCCCTTCCCCTCTCTCTCCTCCGCCTCCTCTCACTTCATTATTCAGAATAATGGCCGCTGATCCTGCGTCCTCGACATGTCTTGCCTTGTCTCGGTGACAGGTAACTGAACTAGTAGTATTGACAATAAGAGCCGAGCATCCTTCAGCTCTGGCACGTACCACGATTCCCTCCTTTTTCGGCACATGTCGGTATATTATCTGACGATTCCCGTCTATAGAAAGACCCCGCCTCCAGTCTCCGCATCCACAAAAGGCCCCTGACGGGGGGGGGGGGGGGGGGGGGGGGGGGGGAAGAGAGCGAGAAGAAAATAGTAGGAGAGAGAGAAGAACGAGAGACTAGTGCAGACGCACCCTCACCCTCAGATCGTACAGCCGACTCTACCMCCCCCCCCCCACCCCCCGTCCACACGAGTACATCATCTAGGCGAGCGCGCGTTGATCACCTCTAAACTCGTATATACCCAACATCCTCGTGACGGGTTGACAGCCGACATGGAGAGGTAAGGTAGGTGTGGATTAGGGAGAGGTTGAGAGAGGGGGGGTCGAGAGGGGAGTGGAGGATGCATCTCCCCATTCCATCCGTCTCTCCTCTCCCTACTCTGATGCGCGCCTGTGCTGCTTCCCGCCCATCGTTCCCAAACCGGTGGCCGAGAAGGGCTCCCCCACCCTCCCCCTCCCCCCTTGCATGGAGGAGAGGGCTGCAGAGCGCCAGACGGTCCCGCACCGGGTCCGGGTCGAGCTCAGTTGGGCTGCTTGCGGAGGGGAAAGTAACCGCTGGGCATGGGCTCGAGGTGCCACACCTTGGCCCCCCCGGTACCAAAGGCCCTCGCCCACTCGGGCTCGAGGTCGGCTGGTATGGCCCACCCCAACTCGTCGTCGCGGAGTCTCATGCGCACCAGGTGGCGCGGTGTAGATCCGGGAGGACCGTCGACGAAGCCGTCGCGCCTGTGGAGGATGGCCAGGTTGTTGACAAAGTGCACGTCGCCCGGCTCGGTCGTGATGCTGAGCTCGGTGGCCCTCGCGATGGCCTCGACGGCTTCGAGAGCTTCGAGCTGCCGCGGGCTGATGCTGGGAAGCTGGGACGATCGGGGGTGGGCGGCGTTCCCGATCAGGGCGGCCCTGCCAAAGTTTGTGATGAGTCGTCCCTGATGATGAAACAGGATGGGTCTGCAGTGGAACTCGGGGCTTTTTTGGGGGGGGTCGCGGAGGGGGCGATGATGACCGGCGGCCACCACCAAGGTCAGAGTGTTAGCCGGAAATCCACTACTCGATAATGACAGGTCTCTCGACTCGGATGTCATCTCATCCTCCCCGGGCGACTACTCACAGGGCAAAGGGCCAATCAGACCCGGCCAGGGAACGTATAAGATCTGGGCGGTCAGTTGCCAGAACGTTGTAGATTGTGTAGCAGGAAGCAATGATGCACCTTCCTCCCGAAGCTGCTGTGCTCCTGGTCAGCCAGCCAACAATGTCCCCGGCCTCTTCGTTATGGAAGGTCTGCGATTCGGAGGGCGGGCGACGTGACTCTTGTCAGCAGTCTTCTCTGAGATAGAGGGGGAGCGGTCTGAGGGGAGGCAGAGGGCAGAGGCTGAGACAGAGGCGAGAAAGAACCAGAAAAAAGAGACACGGAGACGAGAAAAAAGAGAGACAGAGACGAGAAAAGAAAAAAAGAGACAGAGACGAGAAGAAAAGAGACGAGTCGAAAAACTTACAATCGGCGACGTGGAATGTCGATGATGTTCGGCAGTCAGGGCAGAGCTATCGTCGGCAACGATGTGGACTAGTGATATGTAGAGTCGTGTCAGTGCCCAGGCAGCAACAGACATATACCACTTACACGTAGCCACACCAGCCTCTCTCCCCACCACATGAACTACCCATACGAGAATGGCCTGCGGAGGAGTGCGACTCTAGATGGAGAGGGGGGAGAGGGCCGAGAGAGGCACAGAAGGCGAGGGGAGGAAGACGTACCCATCATGTTCCCCTTGGTATCCTGACGTCCATGACGGTTCGCGACAAAGGACTGTATGCCCAGATAGAGCATGGTCAAATCCTCAACCGAGTACCTCTCGGGGTCCAAGCCGCGGATGAGGCCGAAGCCACGTCCGTCGTATACCTGGTGGCGTACCTGACGGAGCTTAGGACCGAGGGTTGGTAGCGGGAAGTTTTCCCTGTTGATGCAATCTCCATCCAGTCCAAGAGCTGTTTTTTTTTTCCGTTTCATCGGTCGTTTCCACGATTGTAATCAGCCAGCCATGTCTACACTCTCAAGGAAGCCGAAAGCAGGAAAAGAAAAAGGGAAGGGGAGGGGGTGGCAGGACAGAAAAAGAGGAAGAAAAAGGAAAGAAGAGAAAAGACGAGAGGTTCCAGGACAGAACAGCTCCGGTGCCTGACGGGTAAAGAAAATCTCGCCACCGCGGCTCCTCCTCTTACCTTTGAACTTTTCGAGACAAGATTCCGCCTCGCGCACGTCCTCCTGGGTGAGGTGTAGGATATACTCGTCCTGGTCGTCGGCCAGTCGGTTGCCATCCCAAGCCATCAGGGAGTCGACGTATTCCGGAAAGCCGGTCGGGAGCGGACTCGCGGACAGGGGCTCTGCCACCGGGAGGGTAGCCATCCTGTCTCCCGCAGGGATGGCGGGAACAGAGACAGGCTGCCGAGCTTGACAAGATGCCATGACGAACTCTAGCTCCAGACAGGCAGCTGATCTTGTCCCCCTTCCTCTTCGCTATCGCCGCGCCCCCTCCGCCGCCTCCTCCTCCTCCTCCGCCTCCTTCTCTTCTCTCTCCGTCCTGTTGGTTTCCTCTCGTACTCCCGTAAGCTTTCACCTCTCTCCCTATCACACGTCCTCTCCCTCGCAGGTTGAACGCCAGCGTGGTGTGGGGTGGTGGAGACTTGGAGGAGGTTATGGGAGGATTGTGTAAGAGAAATCGGAGTGGTGGTGAGTTGGAATGACGATACCTGGTAGATAGATGTCGGGGGGGAGTTGAGGAAGAAGAAGAGGAAGGAGAAGAGGAAGAGGAAGGGAGAGGAAGAAGGGAGAAGAAGGAGAAGGAAATGCACATGTGGTGGTATCTCTCTCTCTCTCACTTTTCTTGGCCCTCTCTTGTGAGGAAGGTTCGAACTGTTCAGCTGCCGCTTTTGAAGGAAGGTGCAATCTTTTTATATGTCCTTTTCGTCTTTTCCTCTTAAAGTGAATTTGTCTTCTCTCCCAAAGAATCAAACCCCAACCCCAACCCCAACCCCCTCTTCCTTCCTTTTCCACCTTCTTCCTTTTTTCCCCCCCTTATCCTTCTTCTTCTTTACCCGCCAAAAGTAAAAACAAAAAGGAAGATGGTTAGTTGTCTCGAGATGTTCCCTTCTCTCGTTCTCCCTCTCTCTACCTAACAACCCTGGTGTGATTGGGAGAAGACCAACACCAATGACCAGATACATCCCAGGCCCCCCCCCCTTGTTGCTTGCATTGCCAGTAGTAGCATCGATATTGCTATTTCCGTGTATCTGAACAATTAGCTCGGTAGCAATCCAGGGTAGTAGTCGTCCCAGTTTCCTCACGGGAGACCGCGCGAGAAACAGAGCTCAGCATAGCTGCACGCTTCCGAAGAGCGCAGCAGATTCTTTCACAGTCTCGTGTTGGTAGTCAGACATGCTCCTGCTACTATCATCACTGCGAAACAGATACTACCAGCTCCTCGCAGTTACTCTACCCTTTCCTCATTCTCCCTCGCTGACAAGGAAAAGACACAGGTGACTGCTGATAGATCTTATCTTTGGGGATCGATCGCATATTCCTACAATCCAACAACAGCCGACAAGACAAAAACAAAAAGCAGACGAGAAAAACAAGACAAGAAAAAAACAAGACAAAAAACAAAACAAAAAAAACAAAACAAAAAAAAGCTGCCTACGCACATAAAGAGATGAAGATCTCCACACAAGGTCGTGGAGCCAATAAGACTCGGTTTTTTGATCTTTTTTTTTTGGGGGGGGGGGTTTCTTTTCTTCTTTCTGCAAACATCACAGCCACACACGCATGGTTCCCTTTTTCCCCTTCTTCTCTCCTCTCCGTCTGTTTTACTCTCAGTTTGAAATCATATGGTACTCTTATAAAAAAATAACTAATTTTTTTTTAAAAAAAAGAAAAAAAAACAGAACACTCTGTATGACGTGACAATTTCGGCGAACCGAGATGCAGTCCCCGAAGCAGCACGGTTCATCATGAGATCCGCCACCTCCCCCTTTTTCTTCTAATACGGCGGATGGCATGGACGATCATCACCTAGGGGGAGAGGCGCCGGTGGTGGGACTGGACTGAGTCGGTGACCGCACGAGGCTAGATCGGTCGTACGGGATGGATCTCTCTCTCTAATCTACGGCTGCATATAGCCTTTCTTATTTTCCCCCTTCTCACTCTTCTTCTTCTCTCTCTTCTCCTATTCGTTTCTGGACAATCTCTTCCCGGACGGTTATCCGTGTGTATATCTATGTGAGGAAACAAGCAAAAGAAAGATGCTGCGATGGAAAAGAGACGGAAAGGAAGATGCAGAAGAAAGATGAAAGGAGCACCCCACCCCCGATCACGCACTCTATGCGGCTTGGAAATCCAATCTGGTCGATGCCATCGTCTGTACTCTGCATACCGCTGCATACCGTACCGGAAACCGGGAGACCGAGAGGATTGGAGGGAGGAAGAGAGAGTGTAGTGTGGCTACAAGAAGTGGATGATGAGAATGGCAACTCTTATAAGCCGCAGTCCCTGTCCTTTTACCAGCCTGTATCTTGTATCATTCTTACTATCCGTCAGTGTCTTTTTTTTTTCTTTTTCTATCAGTCTGTCCGTACCGCTCCCGTCCCTGCTTTCAGCTTGTTCCCCTACATCATTTACATCTCTTCTCTCCTCGTCTCTCCTCACCTCTTCTCTTCTCTTCACATCTCTTCTCCTTCTCCTTCTTCTACTTCTTCTCCTTTTTCATAAGAGAAGATGATGATTGAAAATCTCCCCCTCCTCCCCCCTCCTCCCCCCCAATCGACCACATATTGAATCTACGGCTAATCCAAATTGATCCAACAAGGTAGCCTCGCTGACAACACCAGATGGAAGCTAACATGTGCGAATCCCTCATCCGTGGCCACACAAGAGAGGGAAAGAAGAAGAAGAGGGGGGGGGGATTGAGGCTGATGGATGATCTCTTTCGCTAAACTACCGTAGCTATTTCAAGACTGTGACTACGCACGGATGTATGGGAGATGGGGGGGGAGAAGGGCTGGCGGAAACACATGTGGCCCCATCGCCTCAGACCGTCAACATATTCATCATCATGTAAAGGAAAAACCTCCCCAACTCTTTCTTCGGATGTACGGGAGTATACATACGCGCAGACATCAGGCTCTCCCAATCCTGACTGTTACGTACACGGATAATGCTCAGCAATATTACTACGAGCGATACTGCATATATTGTATGCTATGGACCCATGATATCAGCTCGTACTACTGTAAGCACTCGCTAGCTTCTCCATCCCGTTCCAACCCCCCCACACACCAGGTCTCTTCCGATGCACACCTCGCCGCATCCATCTTCATACATGAGCATACGCACATAGAGTTACGGAATCTCAGCTTCGCAATCAATCACGCGCTTTGTGCCGCCAGCCTCCTCCCCCTCTCGGCTCTCTCCTCCGGTCTTCCCGTGGCGGTCTTCCCGCCCGTAGTCCGTACTTCCCAAGATCCAACATCTCTCTCTCTCTCTCTCTCGTCCCCTTGACTAAATCGTCGTCCCCGGGTGCCATTGCTCTTCAAACAGCTGGCTGACGAAATAGTAATCGTCTTCGTAGTCGCCCTTGGCCCTGACCTGTTCCCACTCCCCACCTGCATCATGCAAGGGTTAGCGTCGCTTCGGCTATCTGGACGAGAGCACGTACTGCGCCGCCGTACCCGTAGTCCCACAGAGGCACATCGTGGCTGCTCGTATACGGGTCGACGGGCCCATCCTGCAGCACCCCTGGGCAGTCGGACGTGTACTCACGCTGTCGTCTCACAGAGCTTCGGGTGGCGTGGATGAACTGAATCTGCGACTCGTCCAGGCCGGCCAGTACCTGGAGCTCTTGGTCTCTGCATCTATCGGAGAATGGGTGCACGCCCTTGTTGCAGTAGTGGAAATGCGCCAGGAGAATGTTGGCACCTGTTTCGCGACAACAGTTAGCCGTGCATGCGTTTTATTCCCTACCCTTCCATCCGTACGCTCGCATGTACAGGCTGCTGCCGATACTAGCCCTGCCAGTCCGCGCCATTTCCGCGCTGAAGAAACCGATAGGGCCATCCGTGCTGGGAGAGAGGGGGCGTGGACTTGTCCGAATCTGCGGGTAGCCTACCGAGGTGATACTCCTTGACCTTGTCTTCCCGAGCAAAGCGCCTCTGCCACCGTGGCCTGTCAGCAATCGTGTCTCTTCTTTGTCTTCCATCGCGCTCCAATCATGCGCTTCGGGGAACCGGCTTGCAGCTGTCCGAGATTCTCTTTCCTTTTTTTTTCCCCCTTCTCTTCTATTCTCCTCACCTCTCCTCTCCTCTCTCCTCTCCTCTCCTCTCCTCTTCTTCTCTCCTCTCCTCTCCTCTTCTTCTCTCCTCTCCTCTCCTCTTCTTCTCTCCTCTCCTCTCCTCTTCTTCTCTCTTCTTTACTCTTCGCCTTCCCACTCCCTTCCCTCTGGTGTCTCCCTCGCGTACATGGTTTCTTTCAGAGGCAGGGGTGGAGGGGAGGGTGGTCTCTCTTGCTCACCTTCATGCCGTGCTTTCGTGCATAACCTGCGTCGTGGGCCGTGATCAGTGCAGTATTGTGCAGGAGCACGAAAATCACCAGGTACGTCACCATCCACGTGTTGAGCTTTCTCTTCGATACAAGCTTCTCCAGCCTCTCTAGTAGACGACGCCTCAGCTTGGCCTGAATGTCGTGGATGAGGATGAGGTCAAGCTGCGCCCCCAGGACCGGTGGCACCGGAATCTTGCCCGGCGTGGGGCTCGTCTCGTCGAGGATGTCCTCGGGTATGCCCAACGTCTCCTCCCCGACTATGAAGCAGGACCTTGTCGAGAGCCGGATAGACATCCACAGTCTGAACGTGTCGCGGAGAAGCTCTGCCGACTCTCTGGGCGTCGAACAGTCCTTGCATATGTCCAGCATCTGCTTGTACGTCCTGTACAGGAGGTTGGCCGGGTTCCCCAGGACGTTGGGGAAGGCCTGATTCATCGAGCCATGTATGTGTGCCGCGTAGGCCCTCGTCGCATCCGCAAAGTCTATGAGCGCGTACGGAGGGATCTCGACACATTTGACCACCCCGTTGTAGCTCCACGTCCTCGTCAACTTGTCCCCCTCCTCAGGGACAAATTTTCGAACCTGGATCTTGAGCGTCCGGTCAGAGTAGCCGTCCGATATGTGTACCGTCTTGATGTCCGACGACATCCATTTCTGGACAGGGTCGGGCCCGGAATGCGTCCACCTCTTGGTCCACTCGAAGCCCGGGACCTGGCCAGGCTTGTATAGCCTCACGTCGCTTATCTTGTAGCGGAGGCAGGGTAGGCGACCTGCCCGCGTGTTCTCCAGCTTCTTGCACGTCAAACACGGTCCCAGCGGGTCATTCGCGTTGTGCTCGCACTATAGCCATGGTCAGCCGACAAGCTCCGGCCGAGCCCGCATTGAACCCTGAAGCAACCATGGCCGATCTTCGCAGGCAGACATGGCCACGCCGGCACTCACCCGTATACGCTGCATCCGGCACCTGACACATGAGCCCATCTTTCTAGTCCTTGCCGTCTGCTCGCGCAGGACCGGATCTTTGAAAGGCCCGCGCTTTCCCCCTCGTTGATTGGGCTGCAGGATGTAAAAGTTTGGCTGGAGGGTATACTGTATAGCCTTGCCGTGATTGTCTTGGGCCATCGTCATCAGGGGTTCAGCACTGGAGTACTGCGGTGGTTGGGGTACAAACGGCTGCTTATCATCGTTTACATGGAACGATGACATGCCTGAAATGTCCGAGCCCTCAGGCGGAGGTTGATCCGGAGAAGACTTGCTGTCCCGGACCCGAGCTTGTCTGGAAGCTGGTGGCTGTGCATCCTGAGGGACCGTCTTGGAATAGGCATCGCTTTCGGACCCGAACTCGAGGCTAGCCAAGCTGGTATGGTGACCCATGGACGCCTCACCAACATGCGGCCCTGTGGCTGGTGTATTGCCGCCGGTGTTGGCCGCTTGGACAGGGAGATGGCTCGTTGGGTCGTGATAGGGATAGTATGGTATCACTGGAGTTTCTGCCAGCTGACTTCCGTGGACCGGCTGGGCATTCTGATGCGCCGTAGGCATCTTCTCGGCGACATAGGGGCCTTCAGTTCCATGAAAGACTGCCGGCATCTCTGCCAGAGGTCGGTAGCCTTTTCCTCACAGTCAGCTTCAGCTTCATGGTCCACCACCCCCAACTCCGCTATACTGGAGACGGTCTATGTGGGAAAGGAAGAAAGCTAGCTTGGGGTGGGCGTAGAAGGAGGATGCATACCGGCATTCTGCTCGAATATGGCGGCGCAGCATGGGTACATCAACGAGCCGAGACTACTGAGGCTCCAAGTCTGGTGCGACGATTCCTCAAGCGCCCCCACAGGCGAGAGGGCAGAGTTGGAAAAATCCGGGGGTCTTTCGGCAACATACCCAGCCGACTCGGTACCGTCATCTTGGGTTCTCCGGAGTCCCATCACTGCAGATGATGGATGAAGACCAGACGAGCGCTTAGCAGGCTGCTTCACACTCAGCTTTCTGCGCTTCCGGGGCTGCGCACTGTAGGCATCGGCAGATGGTTGGAAACTGGAGTTGAGACCATGGGGCACGTCATAGGCCGAATCCGGATGCAGGCAGAGTCTCGGGTAGCTAGCTGGGTCCGGCTCGACCGAGTTGCTTCTGGGATCGAGGGTGGCATCTGTCAAAGATATACGGACAGTGTCCGTGTTCTGGTTCCACGGTATCAGATCTTGACGTCTTTGGCGTAGAAAGAACTCGTGGGACTCCTATCGAACAATGAGTGGATCAATCAGTCAAGTCATAAGCTTTGCGAGACAGGGATTCGTATATTGTAGGGAGGAGCCCCGTGTGAGGCCGGTCAAGCGCTTGGTGGGGGGGGGGGGGGGGGGGGTGGTCAGGGGGGACGGGGACGGGTCAAGATGCTCGTGGGCGTAAAGGAGGATATGCCGCTTGGGAATGTCTCGGCAATGACCACACAACATGTGGGCCGGAGGAGGGAGAGCAAATAATTGAAGGTAACGCGCTATATCACGTATCCTCACATGCACCATGCCGTCCCAACCATCACAAACAGCAGAAGTGGCACTCACCATGGTGGCGGTAGAGAATCGTACGGGTAGCGGGTGACTAGAGCCGTGGTGCGTGAATAAACAGGGTGTGTGCAGTCAACAGCGGCAGCATTGACCGAGTTTGAGAAAGCAAGAATAACCGGCAAATCGTCAAAGCGGCAAGGCGGGCACGGAATCCTCCCCACGGCCGAAAAAGGGTACACACAGCCTGGGGCTATGTAGGAACAGAGAGGAAAGACGGGTGGCTAAGCTTGTGCTGCCAGGTCCATGGAGGAATCTGAGTGTCTTGAAAGCAAAGCAAACCTCGGTCAATCTTCTCTCTGTAGTCCTGCACAACGACAACCGGTGAAAGATGGGTGAAACAAGGAATAGATATGGCTTCGGGTAAGATATTGTGGTGAGAAGGATAGAAAAGTGAAGCGGCATGTGAGGTTAACGAGGGTATGCCAGAGGAGTGCAACTTGGAGTCAGCTTCCGCCTTCTGAATCGGTATGCGCCGAGACAGGGGTTGTAGGTGATGCAGTCTCACAGAATGGGACTGGCGGGGAGGAAGGGGGGGCAGGAGACCTCCCCTCACGGTTATACACTCTGCCCCAGTGCCAGGAAGACATCAGACGATCCTGGCAAGCGTTGGCAGCAACTCGAGAGTACTTTGCAATTAACAGCCGGTGTTATACTTGCACAGCTGATATCGTGCAGATGTGCTTTCTGCATTGGGCTGGCAGCATGGAGAAGGGACCGATAGTGACAGTTGATGGCAACGATGCCCAAGGTACAGGTTACTCAGTGAAGCATCTCTTGTTCACAGCAACATGGTGTCGTGCTGAATTCTATATGGCCGGTCTCAGGGATACACCGAGCATCGGGCGAAGCAGGGATAATCTACGTCGTAATAATACAGCCTGGGGAGCAGGGGCATGGGTCCGGATTCGCTGTTAACACCATGCACGCCTGGGCATGGTGGTGTGCAGGCTGGCTGGGCAGGCAAAGAACAGAGGGAGAGTGGTGAGCAGGAATGGTTGGTTCCTATTGTCAGCAAATTTCGAAAATGTCATGGTATCAGGGAATATTCCTTCCACCACCTAGAATCGGGCGCCGGCATGTGCAAGTCAGATCCCGAGTTGAAACATGCTTGGGCCAGAGTTATAGATTGACGCGTCGACGACGCCCCCGATCCGCCGATGGCCAAGGCCATGGTCCACATGTGCCAAGGATCTTGTTTGTCTTTTGCATGACTTGTTGAAGAGGTTGATGATGTGTTTTGCAGGAAATGGTGCAGCACGATTGTAGGTTGACGAGCATTATCAGGAGCCTTGCTCAAGCAGATCTGCTTGGCTGACAAACGCGTAGAGGCGTTGTAGTAACAAAGAAAATTGCCTCGAGTAAAAATGATTGCAGCTCGCACGCTGCATCACGTCCTCGCGCTCTGAGCACGCCGTCTTCTCCCGACTTGATTGTCGCTCACGGCGTCTGTCAGAGCATAGGTGTGCAATGCGGTACCACCGCGGAATCAACACTTTGCAGGTAGCACAAGACAGGCGGGCAACTTCATTGGGAACCCAGGTGCTCGGGCATATATATAAGCACCCATGAGGGGCTACAAGCACTTATAGAAACCCAAGTGAGCGGGGGATTGAGTGGCAGCGTCGCATTGTCGTCTGGTACAGCCGTATGTTGTAGCACCATACCTGCGGACATCATAGCTGGTTCCGGACTATCAGCTAGTCTCTTCGAATTGATTGTCTCCATGTCTGAACCGGCCATCTTGCGGGGACCGGTGAGCAGAATGACCAATCCTCATACTTGGCCCAAGTGATTTGCAAGTTTTTTCCCGGGCCATTCGTAGCTTGTGGGAGACTGGCGGCAGGCAAGCAGGGGGTCCAACTGGACGACCCCGGCCGACCTACAAAGAGACTGCGCCATGCGTTTTGTAGCCACACAAGTCGTTTCTTACGAAGGCATCGGTGCGGGTGAGCCCATGGTAGGGACGGTAGGGCTGATGACGTATCCGTACTTGCTGTAGGTAATGCGGTGGAATTATGAATCTCGAGATTGCGGGATTAATCCCAGTCCCTGTGTCATGAAAGCAGCAGTAGTAGCCGTTGACGAGAGAATGTGTCGTGATTGTGGCCGTGCCGTTCAAGACCACATTGTTGTGGGTTGCAAAGCGGTTGAAAAAGTACGACTAAGAGACTGAAGTCTGTAGAGTCTGAAGGTCACGCATACGATGACCACACCTTCCTTGATACTTGCCAGCTTGCCGTAGTTGCCTGAAACGGCAGACTTTTTTTTCGACAGGGAAGGAACCACCGGCGTAGGTATGACGTAGCAGTAGTATCATGAAAAACTGCTTGCTTGTGTCGGGCGTGGGTTTAATTTGGGCCGCTATTGGTGGGAATGCACCTTTTCGATACAAGTTGTATGTACGGCAACCCTCACTACCATCTCTCTCACAACTCACCCACCAGGAGCAACAGCTAGAGGCATGGAGAAGCAACCCGCTAACCGTCCCCCTCCCACCCGCAACCCCAGAAAGGGGTAAAAGACTGGGGATTTTCAAGGGACTTCCAACAGACTCACGCATTCCAGTACTGTCACCTTTACAATCGACGAGGTGATGGAATAATTCAAGCCGCCTGCTCTCTTGGGCCCATCGTTGAGGCTTGGGGACCATTGGGGACCAAGAAATTGGAGCCGTCCACCCAGACACAGGTCTTTTCTACCATTGGCAGTGGCAAACAGCCCCGTTAGTTCGACTCAGAACTCTGTCCCTTACGATCCGGTTGGTTCCTGTGTATGCGAGGACAACTTGCATTCGCCCCGACTAGGATCACTGGCTCTCTACTGTGCCGTCTCGGAGAAGCATCGTGCAAACTGTGCGGCCTGTGAGGCAACATCCCCTCGTTAACCATCAGCCACGTTTTCCAGACACCATTCTGCTACCACTCTCCCATAGCCGACGGGCCGATTCGACATATAAAAATCAGTTTTGTCAGCCGCCATGTTCACATGAGAAATGAGATCAGCGACCGCTGGGTTTGTTTTCGCTATCTAAAGCCGACTTGAATCCTCTGCGTTCTTACCACACTCTGCCGCGCCACCACTGAGTACTTATACTGACAAGTCCTCGATATGGGCGTTTTGCTTCGATCATCAATAAGCTCGGTCGGCACACTGACACGACTACATCGACTATGAGTACTTACTCGCATAAGGGCAAAGGACAGAACAACGTGATCTCACGTCATCGATTCTCTTCCCCCCCAAACCCCTCCTTCGTTGGTTGACGACACACCCTTACCGCTTACTCCCCAGTCCCCGGTCTCCTCTTGCAGGTACAGAGTACGACGAGTACTGCTCCGTCTCCCCGCTCCCACAAGACACTCGCGGGTTATATAGCCAGGGGCGGGATTCATTCTTCGTTACATTGCGGTAACAGTATGGATATCCCAATCGCACTCACATGTTATGGTGCCATACAACTTGATAGGCTCAGCTGTTACTGACCCGACAGTATCATCAGAACCTAGACAACAATTAATAACACTCGTATTCACCGCCTGTTTGTTTCGCTCTCCATCTCACTTGGCTTGTTGGCAGGGCAGCCTACGACATAGTATCGTCCGTTCTTGTGCTGACTATTCCGCCTTCTTTCGGTATTGCTCCAAATGTCCTTGTCCATCAGCCACAATGCCTAGAAGTATTCCTGCATGGGTGCTTCTTGTACATGTGAACCTACCCAAGATGGCTGTCGCCATCTGCATCGTACCTTTTATCATGAATGCGGGCCCCTTGCTGTTTATCGCGTCGCTCGAGATGCAAGAATGGGCATCGTTAGCCTCGATGCCCACGTCCCATCACCATCACCTATGGACGTTTACACAACCCCTTTTTCCGTTGCATTATTATGGGATCGCTGATAGAAATGGCCGCAGGAATAACGCCAAATATCGTTCTGTGCGAGCCCCGAGCAATGACTTGGCTTGGTCCTTTGCGATACACCATCAGACCTTCACCCTCTCCATCCAAGCGGCCTCGCCATACGGTACATCGGTACAGAGAATGACTACCATCTGTATGGTTCTCTGATTCTAGCTCCCAGTATTTCATAATTACATTGTCTTTCTTCCCAGGCCATGCTCAACCATGTCGGAATGCTCTACATTGAAAAGGAAAGGCCACACGGTAATCAGGAAATACCTTGCCCTTTGCTCTCTGCGGTCACATCTCTCCCAATGGGCGAACTGTGCGGCCCCCTGTCAAGCCCTGAAATAGTGGTCACGACCAGGAAGAAGGTGTCATTTCATCCTTCGACATCCCCAGATCCGGCCGATATACCCAGGTTCACAAAGCCTCTATGCGAAGCCAAAACACTACAGCTACGACCAAGTTTATCGACCAGTCTCCTCCGATACGATGCATACAGACACGTACTCATATATTCCCTCTTCTCGGACCTCTGCTACTGACGTTGCAATGGTATATACGGAGAACATTCATGTTGAGGTAGACTCCATGACCCAATCATGTGATTATTTATCAGCGCCGCTGTAACATGCAGGCTGCCGCCATGCAGCCGATGCCTTTGCAACACCCATGTATTATACCCCTCGTTTTTTCCTTCAACCTTGGGCTTCCGCTCACCTTGAAGGCTGAAGAGCAGCACCAAAACCCGTCCTAATCACTGGTTTGCGTGCGTGACCGAAGACTGGCACCCCTGATCGGACTCAGTCAATGTATAACCTCTAATAGTCCCCTTTATCTCCCAACAGTGACTCAACTCTGAGTTGGGTGTGGTAAAACAGAGCAGGCCGTACGGTGTACAGCAGCAGCAGCCGCCAGGCTAGGAACGCATCTGCACCCATGACCTTTATTTCGGAACAGAATACTCTGAAATCCAATCTTCCCCATACACGATACACAGTTGACCCCGGAGCTTCGCCATGGAGCTGAGCGAAGAGGCCATCCACGATGTCATCCACCCCACAGCGGCATTCTGCAATGCCTGCACCCGCAGTACCGCGCACGAAGGCCCTACCACCACCGGCGTCGGTCAGGAGGGCGACTGGGACGCATCGTTCCTGAACCCCAAGAATCGCATAGACAGCCTGGAGATCCCCAGGAACCCGCTCTGGCAGATGGACGGGTGCACCGCATTCGGGAGCCAGTTCTACGCCACGCCTCTCTTCGTCGACGGGCCCATGCCTCCGCTGAGGATGGACGTCTTCGTCCCGGAGCCATCCAAGCTGTCCAGCCATGTCCGCGAGATGCTCGACGTGGACGTGACCTTCCACACGAGGGACAAGCACCGCATAGCCCAGGTGGGCCTGACGCGGCACGTGCTGAGGATCCTTCACCACTGGGCGTCCCAGTGGGATGACCCGCGCCGCATCTACGAGAACAAGCCGTTCGGCAGCAAGATTGTCCTGCGGAACATGCCCATCAGCGTTACCAAGGCCGACATCGTCATCGCGCCCGCGCACTACCTCGAGCACCAGCTGCTGTCGCTGTCGAGCCTCGAAGAGTTCTGGGCGGCGGACGTGGACGAGTTCCCGCCGGCCGTGGACGTCGGCGAGTTCGCGTACGTGTCTCAGCTGCACGACAGCGTCTGCCTAGTCGAGCTCGCGGGCGAGGTGCTCATCTTCAAGGCCCTCACCAGCTACTCCAAGTACCTGTACCACGAGCTGCGGCAGCTGCTCCTCATGCGGCCGCACCCCAACATCATCTCGCGCCCGGTCCACCTGGTGACCAAGAGGTGCGGCTTCGGCAGCAAAGTGGCCGTCCTGGGCTTCACCGAGGAGTTCCACACGGGCGGCAGCATCCGCGACCTGATACCCTTCCTCGAGCTGCACAACCGGCTAGCCCCCGCCACGAAGGCCCGGTGGGCGTCGCAGCTCTCGTCGGCCCTAGTCCACCTGCGCCACGAGGTGGGCACGTTCTACTCCGATCTCCGGCTGGACAATATCGTCCTGTCCGCGTCGGGCGACGTGGTCATGGTCGACTTCGAGCAGCGCGGCGTCTGGTGCGAGTTCGCCGCCCCCGAGGTCAACGCCATCGAGTACGTGCGTCTCCTGGCCGTCGACGACGACGTCTCGCCCGACGTCAGGGCCAGGTACGCCGCCATCCTCTCTGAGATGCTGCCCGGCTGGGAAGCCATGAGGGACGGGGAGGAGTACCGCTGGCCCGCCCCGGGTTACAACATCCCCTGGGCCTGCCTCACCCCGACCGAGCAGGAGGCCTGCGAGGTCTACATGCTCGGCCGCGTCCTCTGGTGCATCTTCGAGTCCGAGAGTGCCCCACAGCGCGCCGCCATGTGGCTCTCCTACCGGTGGGAGCCGGCCGTCGAGTTCCCCGTCTTCACCCGCACGCCCCGGCTCGTCAGGGACCTGATCGACCGCTGCACCAGGGGCAGGACCCAGGGTCTCAGCCGCCTCATCGTCAGGGAGAGGGATCGTCTCGTCCTGCGCGAGCTCGAGGGCACAGGCCTCTCCACGGCAGAACAGGTCCAGGAAACGGCTCGCGACTGGTGGTCCGCCGAGCTGGACACGTCCGAGGCCTGGCTGCGGAGCCGCATCGACGGCCTGCGCCGCGGCAGCTGGAACGAGAACTACTACCGCAGGCCCACGCTGCGGCAGGTATACGCTGAACTGAAGGCTTATGAGGAGTGCATCTCGTCGTCGGGCTAGTTTGGGGTGTCGCTTAGAAGATGCCCATCACATTGGGCATGGATGGTGGAAGGAAAGGAGAAGAGGAAGGAGAAAGGGTTTACAGCAGCACCGTAGAACTTTTGCAGAGGTTGTTTTTTTTTTCCCCTTCCAACTGCGTCCACCTTGACTTATATACACTGCTCTCGTACCTTTGGCACGATTCACTTCATCCTCTTCGGTCCCCGTTCTGCACCGGTGCCCTCCTCCCTCGGACCGCGTCTCTTGAGTCCAGCTCCCGTTCCCGACGTCCTCAACCTGGCCAGAAGAGCTCTGAATCGGGACACGTACGCCGTCGGCGCTCCCTGGACGGTGATGTAGCTGTCGAGCAGGCGCTCAAGGTCGTGGATGAATTGGCTCGCAGCCTGAGGGATGAGGCCCAGCACGTCGAGGACAAAGTCGTCGTCCCTATCGCCAATCATGCGAAGGTACAGGTTGCGTTCGGCGCGGGGCGCACGGGGCGTCGGCAGCCTCGTGTCGCGGTCGCGCGTGGCCACGGCCTCGAGGATGTGGACGAGAGTCGAGGCGGCGGAGAGGGCCTGCGGAGCCGTCAGGGGCCTGTGACGGGAGAAGACGGCCGAGCGGATCAGGCGGACGCACCCGGCCACATGGTGGGCTGCCCAGGCCACGACGCTAGGCGTGACGGGGTCCGGGTCCGGGTCCGGGTCGTTGCTCTTGCCGGAGCGCTGTCCACGGGTGGCGGTGGAAGTGACCTGGTCGAGCCTGTGCATGACGAGATCGACTCTCTGGGAGAGCTTGCGAAAGGGGTTGTTGATCGGGTCGGACGGCTTAGAGCGAGAGACGAAGTAGTTGAACAGGTGGCCGTTGTCGAGCAGCATGCGGGCGATGTAGAGATCCAGATCGCCATGGTACTCCTCTTCTCGTTCTTCCTCTTGATCCTCGTCACCTTGGTCACCCTCTTCTTCCATGGCTGCCGGTACGCCGTGGCCTACACCGAAAATGTCTGGTCGGAACTGGTCCGGCTCGGCGTGGTGGACAGACGAGAGGAGTTCCCTTGTCTCGAGGGCGCGCGTGCGGTCCACGCCGTCGCGCCGACTCGGGTCGATGACTAGCGGACAGTGCAGGCCGGCGGCCAGTATTTCGAGGCTGTGGTGGCGTATGCTGTCGAACGGATCGCCCAGCTCCCGCGCATAGCCGGTCGACCTCATGACGAGGGGCTCGTCGCGGTTGTGGTGATACAGCGTCTGGCCCAGGACCTGGTCGAGCAGCCAGACGAGGTGAGGGCAGAAGTCTCCCCCTAGCCTGCTGGCACCACCGTCTTCAGGCGAGTCCGTCGCGGAGACGGTCGTCTCGGGGTTGCAGGAGCAGCTGAGCCACGTCCTCCTACCGGATGAGTCGTGATGGATCCGGACGGACCGGGGGACCAGCTCCGTCATCTGGAAGGCATACGTATCGTGGTCGATGCGTCGGCAGTGCTGAAGGGCCACCTTGGGGGGGTCGGTGAAGACGTCCCGCACGGCCTTTCGCTTGCTCTCGGGGAGACGATCGAGGCGGTAGAGCAGTCGGGAGGGAGACTCTGCGATAGAGGAGTCGTCACCATCATCGTCGCTGTTCTCGGAGAAATCATATTCTGATGATGATGATGATGATGATGGTGGTGGTGGTGGTGGGGAGAGTGAAGATCCTTGGCTGATGATGATGCCGATCCGTTCCTCCTCCTCCCGACGGGGAGGAGAAGAAGTGAGAGGAGGAGGAGGAGGAGGAACCTCTGCCGCTGCTGAACCCCTTACCACGGACTCTCTCCGACCTCTCGATCGTGTTGTTGGCGGCATGGTATCGAGCGACAGCCTACTGAACTTGGTGGCAGGGATGTTGTTGGTCATGAGTGGGGGATTGGACGGACTTCTTGTTCTTCCAGCTCAACCTGTTCTCACTACTTCTGTTTCTCAAAACTGTTCAAGAAGAAAAAAGGGGGGGGGGGGAGAAAGGTAGAGAGGGACAATGTCCAATTCTTGTATGGAGAGGGAGGGAAATGGGTTTGGGTTTTTAATAATAACGAGCATTTCCTCTTTTTTTTTGTGGTGATTCAGTGAGGCAGACAGACAGAGGTCATGGCAAGCGGACCTCTTCTCTCCTTCTTTTCACCTTTTTATTTTTTATAATTCTTCTTTCAATATCTCCCTCTTTCCAGTCCGCCGGGCCTGTGAAATGACTATGAATTTCCAAGGTCGTCAATCGGGCCTGGCGAAGAAGGGTGGGTGGCTTGTTTGATCTGGTTTCTGTTGGTGACCAACAATGGATAGATGGATGCGTTCGTTATTCTTCTTACAGAGAGAGGGAGAGGGAGGGAGAGAGACTGTATAGAAGATGCACAGGCAATCGCTCCAAGGTCGAGAGGCAGACGCACAGCAGTGCCTCGTCTCGGCCCATCGGGGTCACATATCCCGTGGCCCGGCAGATCTCTTCGACATCTTCCCTCTTCTTTTTTTTCTCCTTTTTTTTTTCTCCTTCTTTCTTCTTTTTCCTCTTTGTCCTGGTCAGCCGTAGCTTCCTTCGCTCCCAGACGAACAGAGAGCTGCTGCGCCACCAAAATCTCTGTCGCATGGCCGAGACGAATCGGAGAGGGTGTAAACCAAGCGACCCATAATCGAGACCATGTCAAGAGGCCAGGCTGACTTATATCCATCAGAAGGGACTTGGACAATGTGCAGATCACATCATCTACCGAGATACCGGGTCGGCCAACATGATGGATGAAGCATCCATAGTTTATCACATGGACGGTCATATACTGTCACCCATACGGCAACAATTGTGACGTGCACACAACGTCGTAACCGGGTTAGGGACCCCTCCCCTCCTCCCCCTGACAACACAAGACACGGCGGCTGGATTCACGTGGGATCGGGATGCCTCGCTTCTCCCTTCTTCCTTCTCTCCTTCTCCCGCCGTGCACATACGATACGCGCGACGAGGGAGAGAGAGCGGAAAGACTGGAGAGCGGATAGTCGGATTATACATTATGCCTATAGACACCGCATTGCCGCACACGACCAGTCATGTTCCATCGTAAGACCATGTACCAACGGCGTGGCAGGGCATAATTTCTTCCCCTTCTTCTTCCCCGTCGACATCGTCATCAGCAGTGATCTGTCTCGTCTTGTCTACGATTTTTTGCACTCTTCACGGCCCATGACGGCCATCACATCACATCATCATGTACCGGAAGGGCTGTGCTGTGCTGCACTATCATGTCATCGCCCTGTTCACATGCACGCACACAGAGACGCACCTCTCACGCGAGTGGTGAGTTACGCCAAAGGGCAGGATGCATAGAGCCGCAAGAGTATGCTCTTGGGGAGTGAGTGGATTGAGCCTCAATGGCATAAGGGACTGGCAGAAGAGCCACCACCACCAAGGCTGAGTAGACAGAGGAGACAGCGTGCACAGTCTGTTCCTCTCCCCCCCTTCTCTTCCCCATCTTCTCCCTTCCAACCCTCACACTGTATCACGATAATAGGTGGCAGCACTTTCCGATGTCATCTCACGTCCATCGACAAGAGAAAGATGACGAGCAGATAAAAGAAGGAATGAGGATGAGGCAGAGTGAAGCGAGAGCAAGCATTGTAAATTTATCAGGTTTTTTAAAAATAAAAAAAACAGACCTTCAGAATCTATCAAGGTATTTGCAAGACTAGACTTGATTCTGAGGCGGGAAACATCCCGGGGGAGAATAAAAAAAAAAGAGAGAAACCAACCCGGGCATCCGGTAAAAGGAGACCCATCTTGGCTCTTCCATCATCTGCTCAGATATGCCGAGGGACACCTGCTGAGGCAGAGGAGGTTGCGGTGCCGCGGTATGGCACGCAATTATACGACAGCCTGCACCCTGGGGCGCATGCTTTCGATGAAACGGGCGAGCCGAGGGGATCCGTCGCTCGTCTTCTCGCGGCGGCTGGTCGACGGCGACTTGTCCTGGCGCGGGATTGTCCTGGCGGCAGATCCGGAGGCCGCGGCACCGCGGTTCCACGTCTCGGAGCCGGCCGCGGTAGGTGACCAGTCCTTGCGTGCCGCCGACTTGCGATGCGGCGTCGACGCGGACTTGGTGGGCGAAGAGGAAAACCGGCCCGCAGACGGGGAAGAGGAGGACGTTACCTTCTTCCCGTGCGAACTGTCAACGGGCCGGTCGGATTGTCAATCGATACCGTGCTGCTGCTTGAGCTGAGCTAAATTTTGCCTGCGGGCTTCGAGGTCCTCTTTTGACTTGGCCATCTTCTCGGGCTGGTGGTATAGAACTGCAGACGATGCGTCAGCAGTCTGGTCTGTGGTATATTGTGGGAAGGGAGGCCGGCAAGAAGAGGCCGGTGACGTGACGGGGAAGAGAGGAGAAGAGAGAGCATACCAACTAGATAACGGTTCTGGAAGTTGAACCCGTTTAGTTTGTCGCAGGCTTGCTTGGCATCCACGACATCCTCATAGACAACGAAAGCTGTACCCTTGGTGTTGTTGGCGATGCCCTGTCGAACTTGGCTGTTTTATCCAAAACCGTTAGCCATCCATCAAATCTCCCAACGGTCGGAAAAGTCTATCGTCTCAGACATTCGCTGACAACATACCGGATAGGGCCAAATTTGCCAAACAGGTCGAACAGCTCTTCTGGGGTGACGTTGTAGCTATAGAGAGTAATCGATGTCTGTCAGCATGGTGCACCGTGTCGGAGAGACTGGTCGTCGTCGCGTTCGGAGATGGGGCACTAATTACCTTAAGTTCTTCACGAACAGAGCTCTGTGACACGAAAGAAGAAAATTGTCAGTAATCCTCTGACTCTTTCCTGATCCCTTCTGAAGCAATGATGATGGAAATCGGATAGAGATCCTGGACGCAGGCACAGCCGATGACCGAAGGCGTGCACGCACTGAGCGTGGGCAGCAGAAGGGGAAGAAGAAAAAATAGAACAGCTCGTTTCTCTTGGAAAGACTCACCGATTGACTTCTGGGGCAAGTTTCCCACCGCGACTACTCATAGCTTGGCTAAAGTGTTTGGGAGTGATTGATCGAATCTCGTTCGGTCGGTCGATGAGGAGTGTTGCGTCGAGTAGATTCGTCGAAAGGGAAGGGTGGTAGGTGGCTGGTGATGATGACGGATGATGGAAGAAGAGAGCCGACTGCGACGAGTCTCTGGAGCGTAATGTATGTCGGTACCAACTGCCCAGCGAAAAGCGACTTTGGCATTCCGGACGGGAGGGAGGGAATGGCCGGGTGTCGACAACCTGAGGCGTACACACGTGACTCCACAGTTGGTCACCCTTCTCCGCTATTATCTCGTGCCGGAAGCCCGTCCATAAGCGGGTCACTCGCAGCGTTACTTTGCAGAGAGTCACCAGCCGAGGGAGGGAGTCATTTTAGTGGAATCTTGTTGCTAGAGCAGTGCGTAGCCGGCTGCAATGCTAGGTTCTACTATGCTCTAATATGTATCATGACAGGCAACCGCCCATGGAAGGGCCTTATTAGAGAAGTTGGCACCCAAAAAAACAAAAACAAAAACAAAAAGGGATATTGTGTCTGACTTTTATGTGTACGGATTACGGATTTACTTGTATAGCAAACGACGCCGTATCATGATCGCCACAACTATGGAGTACCACAGAGTACCACGGAGCACTACGGAGATAAAATCCTCACTGCCCCGTCTCTATATGTTGCGCCCGGTCAAACCTTCCATTGCTACGATGATCGTATCACTGTCAGCTTTACCTCTCTCTCTCTCTCTCTCTCTGTGTGTGTGTGTGTGTGTATGTGTGTGCTAAGTTGTCTCTCCCCTCCCCGACATGTCAGTCATGGTAATATGTACTCGTACAGTGAGTGACGGGCCAACGTCACGCGACTGCCCACCCCACACCTGCATCGGACCGGCAGGGGGGTGGGCAGTCACTGGTTGCCAACTGGCGACCACCGACACCAACTGTGAACTGAACAGCTGTTGGCTGATGGATCACGGTCGCATATGTTACATACAAGTACATGCAGTATTACCCATGATGAGTTGACCATTTGCTTGTGCATGCAATGCCGCCGTTAACGGCATACCCATCCGTCAAAACACCACAGGTCTCTCGGTGGATGATGATACCGTCTGTTCTTCAAGCCATCATAGAGCAGGAGTAGCACCACCGCTCGTGAATACTACCTTTCGTATGGGTATGATTACTCCATACGTAAAACTGTAGATCACCTTCTCTTGTTGGCGTTGTGTGCCCCTGGCATGACCGCGGGGAAACCCGGCAGCCGACCGATCTCGATGGCGGGCCAGAGAGAAGGAGGGGGGGAGAGGGTGCACTCACAATCGCTCGCCTTCTGTTGACTCTGCCCTCTTCCAGGACCACCATAGAAATCAGACAAGATGCGCACATAGTCACCCTCCACTTTTCCTTCCCGCTGAATTTCCCACGTCCACGAAGACGAAGAGACAGCATGACCTCCTTGTTCCGGATACCATGACACCGCCCCCAGACGACGGGGGGCAGCAGCCCGATGACGTCCAATCCCTGCTCCGAATCGGCCGCGAAGCGCTGCAGCCTTTCCAGGTCCAGCACGGAGACGAGGAGTTCCTGGTACAGACATTCTGCCATGGGGCAGAGTCGGCAGCCGTCGGCGAGGACGTCGGACGGCTCGTCGACGAGAGTCTGCTCGCCGGCGCCGAGGCCTGGCATGCCGTCGTCGACTGCGCCAGGTCACTCCGACAGCAACACGCGGTCGACCCGAGCAGCCTCGACGGCGGAGATATACTCGAGTTCGTGTGGTACCTGCACAGCTGCCACCTGGAGCCCGAGCATGATAACCCGTGGCACGAGACGGATCGTCTGCTACTCTTGGCCGGGGAGCAGCAGCGCCAGGCTCCTTCTCCTTCTTTTTCTCGCCCGCGACCGACGCACCCGTCACCGTTCGGGGGTGGTGCCGCTACCGGTCTCCCCCGACAGCTTCGGCCTACTGCCACGGGACCGCGCACACGGCCAGAGAGGAAGGCGCGTCACGTCACGTCCCATTACTGGGACCCAGAGCTGGCAGACGACGACAGACCGACGTCGCCGACCAGGAGGTCGCCACTCCTCGATCGGCCATCTACGCAGTCGATAGGACGGCAGCTGTCACAGCCCGCTTTGCGGCATGAAGGCGCCCTGCACGCGGCGAACAATACGGTCCTGTCCCCGGCTGAGGTTGGCCAGCAGGATGGGACGATACAAGAGTCGGAGCCGGCCAAGGCAGTCGCCCAGACCACCAGGAGATCAGTGCTCTCGCCGTACTTTGCTCCGTCCCCGCCCCGGGGGCAGCAACCAGAGTCTGCTCCGAAACGCCGACCGCCGCGGGGGACCGTATCGTGCATTCCGTTCCCGCCGCTCGACTCGCCGTCGTTCGGTCTCGTGCAGGAGAAGATGGCCCACGAGCCCTTCTGGCTCCTCGCGGCCGTCACCTTTCTCATCCGCACCAAGGGCACGGCCGCCCTGCCCGTCTTCTACGGAATCAAGGAGCGGTTCCCCACACCCGGGCATATAGCCGATCCGGCCAACGCCCAGGCCATATTGCATACGATCCGCCACCTGGGCCTCGGTGCTAACCGCCTGGGGATCCTCCAGAAGTACGCGAGGGCCTTTGTCGACAACCCTCCACGTGCCGGAAGGGTGTATCGCGTGAGGAACTACTGCAGACGAGATATACTGCCGACGGGACCGGAGGCTGCCCGGCGGGATACGGGCGATGGCACTACAGGAGGGAGATCCGAAGACCTGGGAGGTCGCATGCCGACCCCGGGAGAAGAAGACGGCGACGGCGATGGCAGCCGAGATGGCCATGCCGAACCAGAGGCCTGGGAGATTGGACACGTGACCCAGGGGAAATACGCCATCGACAGCTGGCGGATATTCTGCCGAGACGAGCTGCTGGGCCGCGCAACCGACTGGAATGGCGGAGGAAGCGAGGCCAAATTCCAGCCCGAGTGGATGCGCGTGATGCCGAACGACAAGGAGCTGCGGGCGTACCTGCGTTGGATGTGGATGCGCGAGGGATGGGAATGGGATCCTGAGACGGGCGACCGCGTCGTCCTACGCCCCGACCTCGCCAGGGCCGTCAACGAGACGAGGGTAGAGTATGACGACAACGGGGGGCTGACCGTTGTCGAGCGACCGAGAGAGCTGTAGTAAGCAGTGCATGTGCTGCCTATTACTGCAGTACACAGTAACCGCAGTTCTGCTCTGCTGCGTCGGTGTCAATCGGGATCGATCGTACGATGCAAGACCGCAAGGGGCCAAGGATTCCTCCGTGGTGGAACGTGGGTGACGGTGCCGTGGACGCATCGGTCTGGTTCCTCGAGAATGTCAGACGAGGAAGAGGTTCCTCCAGTCCCGGACTGTGAGACGTCCAGAAGGGTATCACCATCAAGGGCAAGACTGCGGGTTTGGTCGAGGAAGGACAAAAGAAGGCGACGATCATGGTGGGCAAGCATGATAGACAGGGGACACGAATAGTCCTCCGCTGCACCCACAGACATCTGCCCTGCAGAACGGTTCCCTTTGGCGTGGGACTAGTTGGGCGCCGTCTGTAGAGGTACATGATGATAAGTATATTCAACGCGCACTTAAAGTGCAGGTACCTCTACGAAAGGCATCTCGGGATAGTGGGCATTGCTACTGTTCGTGTAGCGCACTCTCATCATGACAGAAAGAGCAGTCAAAACAGCAGTCGAGGGGGGGGGGGAAACTGTACAAAGCGAGGAGAGAAGGTAAAGAGCCGTTTTGCCTATATATGTTTTTTCATACTTTGCCGTTGTGGGCAGAAAAGCAGAGTTATCCTTGTGTGCAGACGTTGGCAGGGACGGTGTGGAGTACAACCATCCATGTAGACGTCAAGGTCGATATAAGCAAGCCCACGTGAGGAATCGAGGCGGGTAGGAAGAAGGTATCTAAGATGATATCTGGAGTTGAATGATAAGGGAGCATTTATAAGAACCCACCACGAATACGGTCGACATGCGTACAAGGTAGGTTAGGTGTTAACATAGTGGTGTTGAGTTCTTGTCTTCCCTGTTGTCGTGGCGTCGGACTCGACGGTCCTGCTGTCCAGTCCGCAGTCCGGCTTACCTAATCTACATACGACGTGACGTCCTATGACAGGAAGTACATGAGCTTCGCAGTGGAGAAGGGGGGCCTTGTGGGGGGGGGGGCCCATGGGGGGCCATGGGAGGGGTCCTCCGCTGTTCTTACAGCGTATGCTCGCCTGGGCAGTGAGCATTCGCCAGGCTGGAAAGAAGCTAAGAAACATGTTTGTATTATATTGCTACTCCGTACTCCTCGTTCAATGATGCTGCACGAACCGTTCCCTTTCAATCTGCTACGATGTGTATGTACAGACTACACGTACTCGTACTAGCGCTAGACTAGCAGCATAGCTTGACCGTACTCCAACACTCAGCCGTACTCAGCCGTATCACATCGCGTGAGCCATTCGTACTCGTAAACCTGAACGCGGGGGCCAAGAGCGACCCGTCGTTCCCTTCCCTTAATGCCGGGCGGCTCATACCTAGTATACCTCCGTTTTTTGTTTTGTTTTTTTTTTTTCCGATTCCTCTCTTCTTCTATTCACACGTGTATTGGAATTTACAGTACGGTACTACTCTAGCACCTGTGGCAATCGATATTACCACGTAATGATTCAACAGCGTCTCTCCTAGGAATACTCCGGTTGGAATCCGAGACAGGATATAGTCGGGCTGCATAACACCAGGAGTACTCCCCGGGAAATGAGAATACACGTCCTCATAGCATTCATTGCGCGGTCAATCAGACGGTGACAAGCTACTACTTAGCGAGAATTACCACCAGCAGACGTGTGTCTGGGTTTGGGACGCTCCTGCCACTCCCACTCCGCCGTGAGCGATCCTCAGGTCGTGCCTGCCAAGCGGGGACTGGGAAAAGTGGATACGTCGACCCTGCGTCATCACGGGATTTCGAAAGGACACAGTTGTCAGTTAGTACTGATGGTGAGCTCAGACACGGGGCGAAAGTCAACTTGAGCACCTTTTATAGTGGTAGCAAAACGAGACGAGAAACTTTTTCTGTCAATTCCTCTTGGATTTTTTTTGGATTCTTTCCTTTTCCTTTTGTCGGCTATCAACCTCCTCCTCCTCCTTCTCCTCCTCCTCCGCCGCATCCTTCTTCTTGAATTGAAAAAAAAAAAAAATAAGGTCAGGAAGAGAGAAAACAAAACGTGGGTCTCTCGAGGACGGAGAAAACAGCAGCAATAATAAATAGTAGACATTCATACTAGAGACGACAGAACAGCACAATCCCCGACAGACCGGCATACGACCTACGCACGCTGCTACCATTAGCCCCGTCCTTGTCCGTACCCCGTCGACTCCAAACCCACCACGACCTAAACCCTTGCGCGTGGTCCCCTCTTGCTCTCTTTCCTCCCCTCCGCCTTGTATTCTCTCGTCACTCGCTCTCCCGACGCCTAAACTCGCTCGACCGTCGCTGCGACAGCTCTCGGCTCTTTTCTTTTTTTTGTCCCCTGCTTCCTCTCGTATCCTTCTTGCCGACCGAGTGACAGATCGGTGGGACCGGACAATCATTCCTCACCTTGACCTACGAAGACACCTGTCGCGATCCGAGCTCAGCTCGGGGCCCCGAAACGAGAAAACAGAGGCAGACCCGGACGACCGCTCCCCCCTCGAAGAGAGAGAAGAAGAAAAGAGTAGAGGCACTCGACCCGTCTCCCGAACACACATCATGAGCCATCGCGGACCGGCCGGCTACGGCATCCCTAGCTCTTCCAGCCCCTACGGGGTTAGTCCCGAGCAGGATCAGACTCCCAACATATTCGATCAGCTCCGACCGTACACGGACAAGGCCGAGGACTTTCTTGACAGCGTCAGCGAGCCCATCAAGCCGTGAGTAGAGCTCTCCCCGGCTCTCGCCAGCTCGGCCTCTGCCAGCTCGGCCTCTGCCAGCCCAGGAAGACCCAGGATCCCATCATTTCGATCTGTCTCTACAGTAGGCTGACGCGGACTGACCTTTTTTTTTTTTCATCTTCTCTTCTCTCAGCTACCTCCCGGCCCTTGGGCGTTTTCTCATCGTCGTCACCTTCCTCGAGGACACGCTGCGCATCATGACGCAGTGGAGCGACCAGCTCACCTACCTGAGGGACTACAGGAGCAGTATGCCCATCTCCCCTCGAGCGAGCGAGGACCTCTCATTTCTCTCCGGATAGATAACTGACTGGCTTCCGCACACGCACACCTAGTCCCCACCGGCATCACCCACCTCTTCCTCCTCGTCAACATCGTCGCCATGGCCAGCTGCTCCTTCCTGGTCATCGTCCGCAAGCACTCGGACTACGCCGTCGCCGGTCTTATGGGTGTCGTCGTCACCCAAGCCCTCGGCTACGGCCTCATCTTCGACCTCAACTTCTTCCTCCGCAACCTGTCCGTCATCGGCGGTCTCCTCATGGTCCTCTCCGACTCGTGGGTGCGCAAGACCAAGGCCTTTGCCGGCCTACCCCAGGTTGACGAGAAGGACCGCAAGATGTACTTCCAGCTCGCCGGCCGCGTCCTGCTCATCTTCCTGTTCATCGGCTTCATCCTCAGTGGCCAGTGGTCCATCTGGCGTGTCGCCGTCTCCATCGTCGGCGCCGGTGCCTGCATCATGGTCGTTGTCGGCTTCAAGGCCAAGTTCAGCGCCACCCTTCTGGTCCTCATCCTCAGCGTCTTCAACCTCCTTGTCAACAACTTCTGGACTGTACGTCTTCCTCTCTCCGACGTCCCACCCTCTCTCGTGTCTTCCATCTACTGACAGCCATGTTACCCGCAGCTTCACGAGCACCACCCCCACAAGGACTTTGCCAAGTACGACTTCTTCCAGATCCTGTCCATCGTCGGCGGTCTTCTCCTGCTCGTCAACAGCGGGCCCGGCCAGTTCAGCATCGACGAGAAGAAGAAGGTCTACTAAGCGACTCCGATTCCTACCGGTATCGGAAGTCTCGTTCCCAGACTAGATCAGATATGTCTGCCCTTGAATAAACGATAGTCGACATAAAGCTACGAAAAGAGAACAGAAAAAGAAAGAAAGAAAAAAAGAGCACTCCGGGATGGATCAATTGGATCAGGGATGCGAAAGGATACAGAGGAAAAGAGGAAGGACCCCATTGCCAGCCCTTCACAGGAAGTAATACCATGCCAACAACAACAACAACAACCCAACCCCCCATATTGAAAGAGTCGTGTGACGCAGTGTTTCCGTCCAAGGACTTTCGGCTCATGGTGGCGCACATGGGTAGGATGAATGTATGACATAGGTCGCCGGGAAACCCCCAGAACCTGGGGCCGGATGATGGGGGGGGGGGGAGGGGAGGAGGGGAACCTTGGAATACAAGCGCAAAAAAAAATTGATGATACTCTTTTTTGAAGGACGTGAATCTGTATCATGACTGACACCAGCCTTGTGGTAATATCGAATCCCATCAGCCTATCATGACACATGAGCGGATTCTCAACCGAAGAGGAGGAGGCATGTACGAGTGAATGACATAACCTTGGGCAAGGAAAGGAAGAAGGAGAGGGAGAAGGAGAGAAAAAAAACACTCGTCCGTCAAGACTGCATAGCCAGCAAGGCTGAGAGTATCTAGTCCGGTTATATGTATTCGTACTCGACCCTCGTACAGTGTAACCTGCATGACCCACATGAGCGTGCAGGGATGACGGTTCCCACGAGAAGCCGAACGGCCAAAGAGGGCCAGGAGACATGTGCAAATGTGTGTGTATTGTATATATATATATATATATATGTATATGAAAACCCTTCTACAGATATGTATCAAAAATAAAGAAAAGCAAAACACAGATAAAGCAGGAAAAGGAGGGGGGAAAATCCCAACGAAAGATGACAAAAGATATAAATATATATATAAAAGCAGTACTAATACTTGATGTTATAACCCATCGTCCCTGATGAAACAAGAAAAAAGGGACAATGAAAATAAAGAAGAAGAAAGAGAAAGAAAGTCTAGAGAGTCGATACCATGTTGTATCCGTGTGTAAGTAGGCATCGCAGTGTAATATCTCCCCCCTGACAGTCTTTCCTTTACATCCATCTCTTTTTGTTTGCTGTTTCTAGTGTGAGGTTTTTGAAAATAGAAAAAAAAAAAGAAAGGCAACAAAAGCAACATGGAAAAAGAAACGAGTTCCCAATAACCATTCCTCAAAACGCCATCATTATGCCAAAGTCTGAAAAGAACAACCTATAAAGGTTGTCATCAGGGAGCAGTCGTCGTAAAAGAAAAAGGGAATTTTTTCTGGGCGAAAAAAAAAAAAAAAAGTCCTTGAATCATCATCATGTCAGAGGCAGAAAAATGGAGTCGACAAAAAAAAAGATGAAGCGGTTGTCCCTCTCATCAAAGCACTCTCGCAAATGTCTGAGTCTTCTTCTTCTTCTTCTTCGTGCGTCGTGTCGCCTACTCTCCTCGCCGTCGTCTTCCCGAGAATAGTTTCTGGTCGACGAGTCTACTTCTCGACAGGTTTCCGTAGAGCTTCCATAATCTCTCGAGAAGAAGGATGGGTTTCTTCCGAGGCACAGACACCTCCACCACCACGATTTCCTATGACGAAGACGACACCTTGCGGGCGGCCGACGAGGCGGTGGCCGACATGGCACCGTGGTGGTGGCTGTTGCTCCCGACGCGGCCGCTCGTCTTGCGGACGCCCGAGTCCTTGGTGCGCAGGGGCGACGACGAGTCGGCCGACCCGCGCTTGCTGCCCCTGACCTTGGTCATGACGCTGGGCGTGCTGGCGACGCGATCCACCGTCTTGGGGCGTCCCCCGCCAATGTTCTCGGCGTCGTGCGACGCGTCGTTGTCGATGACGTACACGGTCGACGTCGTCTGGCTGATGGACCGCACCTTCTCCGTCGTCATTCGGCCGGGCGACTGCGACTGCGACGGCTCCTTACGGCGACGCACGCGGAGGTGAAACTCCTCGTCCGTGTCGTTGATGGGCCCGCCGCTCTCCTGCGACCTGCGCTGGTGGTGGCGCATCGTGATCTCGGCGTCATCCTCGAGGACGGCCTCCTCCTCTACCGTGGCGTGCACCGCACCACCTCGCTGGTAAGGGTGGTGGCGGTCGGCACCGGCACCGGCCCCGCCGGCGGCGGCGGCAGCGGCGGCGGCGGCGGCGGCGGCACGCGACGAGCCCTTGCGCGGCTGGCCGGGCGTAGGCGCGGGGAGGTAGTCGTCGTGAGCCGAGGCGGCGACGTTGCCGCGGTCCCCGTCGACCTCGCTGAGGGGGGTGCGGTTCGATCCGGTGCGGTGGGGGGGCGTCGAGGCCTGGGCGCTGCTGCGGATCGACGATCTCTGCATGGCGCGCGCCGGGGTGCTGGGCACGGCGTGGGCGGCGGCCATCTCCTTGCGGAGGCGGCGCTCGATCCTCTCCTCGACCCACCACTCGCGGAAGGTGCCTTGGTTGAGGTGCAGCCAGTGCTGCTGGGGTCCGACGACCATGCCGGGGCGCATGAAGCGCATGAACGAGATGACCTCGTTGGCGGTGAAGCCGTGGCGGTAGATGAGGTAGGCGCCGATGAGGCAGCCGGTGCGGCCGAGGCCGGCCTTGCAGTGGACGGCGATGCCCTGCTTGCGCACCGTGATGACCTCGTGAGCCAGGCGGATGAACTTGCGCACGGTGGGCAGGGCCGGGCAGGTGCCGTCGTCAAAGATCATGTCAAGGTGCTGGATGCCCAGGGCCTCAAAGTACGAGGGCGAGTAGAGGGGGGAGTTGAGGCGGACGACGAGCCCGACGTTGCGCTCCGAGAAGTGCACCAGGACGTTCTTGAAGGGCTGGGGGAGCGAGTCGTGCGAGGCCACGGCCTCGAGGGTGCGAGGGAGGGCGTCCCACAGGTTGCCGTCGTCCTCGGTCAGCTTGGCGACGGGGCCGTGCTGCGGCGAGGCGAAGGCGAGGAAGTGCGGCGTGATCCAGTTGAAGTCGCCGTGCTCGACCCGCTCGTACCTCTCGTACATGTCGAGGTCGAAGTTGTCGAGGTCGCAGCACTTCTCCTCCTTGGCCTTCCACACGCCGTAGACGACGTCCTGGACGGTGATGCCGTAGTCGGCCTGGCTGTAGCCGGCGTCGCGGAACGGCATCAGCGGGGGGTCGACCTGGGCCACGGGGGCGAGGGCCAGGTGGGGCGGCCAGTTCTGGATGAGGACCATGTAGCAGGCGAGCATGCAAGCAGCATTTGCGCGGCCTGTAGGTCGAAGGTTGGATCTGTCAGTAACCTCTCGTCTTCCTCTCATCCTTTCCTGCATCCTCTTCCTCTCCCTCTCTTTCTCTCGCACCTCCCTCTCTCCCTCTCTGGGGCGGCAACGGAAACTCACTCCTAGGGTCGGCATAGCTCCAGAAGACGATAGGACGGTCCTTATTCTCCTTGGCACCGAGGATGTCGTGAAACTGGATGGCGAAGCGGTACAGGTGACCGATGTGCAGAGGCCCAAAGTCGTGGTGGAAGGCATTGTACAGGAGGCTATCGTCGATGGTGAAGTAGCAGGGGATCTTGGGACGCGGAGCGGCGGCCTGCTGGGCGGCACGCTTGCGCGGTGAGGCGGGAGGCTCCGGGAAGGGGAGGGGTGCATCCTCCTGGGGAGGCTGGATGTACGAAGCAAGGTATAGACGGTCTGCCGTGTGCGTTGTGGCAAAGATGGTGTTAGCAAGGTCCATGGTCTGCATCTTGTTGTCGTGGCTGTGTTTTTGTTGTTGTTGTTGTTGTTGTTGTTACTGTTGCTCCTCCCTTGTTTACCCTCCCAACCGCGACTTGGGAGATAAGAGGAAGAAGAGAGCGTTCAGAGAAAACAAGCGAAAGGGGAAGGAGGAGGAGGAGGAGGAGGAGAGGAGGAGGAGGAGAGGAGGAGGAGAGAGGGAGAGAGAGAGAGAGAGAGAGAAACTGACCCGGGATGTACTCGACGACCTGACCCACGGGACCGGAGTGCCTGGATACACGAGCCATGGTTCTGCTCATGCTGCGTCGTCCGGACCGAGGTGTGCAATGAGGAGAAGGGAGAAACGCGGTGTGATGATGGATGATCTGAGGTGTGCAGTTCTTCTCCTCTCGACGACGCAGAAGGATTTCCGAGTGTCAAGCTTGACTTTCTCTTCCTTTTTCTTCCTTCTTCCAAGAGAGAGGGATGGAGGAACGGGTCTTGCGTGGTCTTCGACGGGTAAAACAGCGTCCTGTTCTGATTCGGCTTGCTGGCTTGCTTGACTTTTGGTGTGTGTTGTTTTCGAAGCTGGCTAGGGATTCGTATAGAAACAAACAAGAAAGGAAAATAGATAGATCGTCACCCAAAAAAAAGAAAAAAAAAAAGGAAGAATGCCAACGAAAACCCGCAAAGACAGAGGAGGAAGAAGGAGAAGAAGAAGGAGAAGAAAGACGGTCAGGTGTTTTTTTAATATAAAAAAAAAATAAATGAAAAAAGGGTAGAAGGAGGAGAGAAGAGAGGTCGCTGCTATTTGTTATGATGGGTGTGCGTGACCATGTTTTTTTGTATGACGGGGGGGGGAGGATAGCGAGTGGGTACCCAACAAGTCAAGAGAGATCCTTGTAGTTGTACGGAGTAGCTGTTGTTGTTGTTGTTGTTGTTGTTATTGTTGTTATTGTTGTTTGTTGTTTGTTGTTGTTGTACCCCGTAAGCTGTACGCCTTTACTGGTTGCTGGTCGGTAGCTGCTTCCGTCCAGGGCTACGTAGGGACCTACCCGTACGGCATCACAGGCGTTCCAGCGCCTTCGCATCTTCCCCGTCAGACCGCCAGGTGCCCTGGAAACCAGCCCAAGACAGGGCCCTTGGCAGGGTCCTCGACAGCAACGGTCTACCACGGTCCACCGGTTTCACCCATGTGCAGCAGAGGAGTAGAAGCGTGCTCGGCACCTACGGTGTGTGTGATCCGTACCGGTACGTGAATTCCTAGCGGTGATATGCCCATCCGGTGATGATCCCTCTGGGAGAGTACTCTATATTCTGTACAGATCACAGGCTGCCGAGTCATCTGTAACCGAGTACGGAGCAACGCAATTCTGATTTCTGTCATCACCCCCCCCCCCCCCCCCCGTACGGAGTAATAACAGCAGATATTACAGCCCCTACTCCGTGAACTGGCACGGATCCACTGGTAGCCATGGCAACCTGGTCATCGGCCCATGAGACCGGTCGTTTCACTTGGGGGGATCTGTGGCTTGAACCATCCGCCACAATTCAGCTCTTCCTCTCTCCAGCCACAATTATGCTCTCTGCCTGTTCCAGGCTTATCAACTCGTGTAATCTGCAATCTGTAATCTGCAATCTGCAATCTGCAATCTGCAATCTGTAATCTGTGCAGATTACACATTATTAATATCATTACCTCCCCTACCATCAAAGCACCTTTACTGAACCGCATCAACACACGGTCCGATAAAAATATTATGATATATATCAAAGATTCCCCTCCCAAATCATCTCATTTCGAACTTGACATACCCGGCACAGAAGAAGCAAAACAAAACAAAACAAAAAGTTCTCTTGATACTATTCTTTATCTCTTATATTATCTTTTTTTTTGGGGAGGAGGGGCTGTTTTATTTCTATTGGTTTAATTTTTTTTTTTTAAAAAAAAACTCTTTCATCCTTACACGCAGACGGTATAATGAATCATGGCTTCATCTACAGAGTCACAATTTCCCTGCGCAATGTACGGGGGGTTTTTCTTCTTCTTTTTTTCTCTTTTCCCTTTCTTCTTCTTTCTTGCTTTTACGCTCCTCGACTCTACTTCCTACACACGACACACCCTCTCATCTCACCTCTTTCCCTATCCATGACTTGATTCTGATATTATCCAAACCTCCCACAGATCCATCGACATTCCCTTCCCGACAAGACGTCTGGCAACGTCCGCCCTGGAAGCGATCCAGGTAGACAAGGAGCTCTCACCGCTCGTGCACAGGGTCCTGTCTATCCGTAGATGGGCAGCAGCCGGTCCTGTCGAGGCTCAGGCTCAGGCTCAGGCTCAGGCTCAGGATCAGGATCAGAGTGAGAGCGGGAGCGGAGGTGGGATTGCGACTACGACTGGGATCACGGCTGCGACCGAGGACCACATTATCCTCCGAGCAGACTACCGTGCCACCACGAACCGCATGCTTCGCGTAGCCGTCAACTCGTTCATGGAGAGTCTGAGGCTGGTCGTTGACGTCATGGAGGTCCTGGATGTCGATGTCTTGGAGGGGGAGAGTGAGTGTGCAAGGACCGACGCGGTTGCTACGGTTGCTACGGTTCCTACTCGTACAACAGCTTGATCACTATGACGAAGAAGTTATCTGGGGGGGGGGGGGAGAAAGGAAAAGAAGAAGAAAAGACAATATAAGCACGTACGCACACGCGCATACGCACACACAATTGCAGGTACTCACAGAGCCCAAGAATACGGTGTAATACTGTATACTCGTATATTCAGCTCCCATTGACCATACCCATCGTCAAGGCTGTCTACGTGTACATCAAAACAACAGCTCACCAATGTTTTTTATGAACATATATATATATATATATATATTTAAAAAAAACCTAGTTTGCGAGACATGAAATCAGAGACATCGAGAGGCAAATATAAAAAAAATTCCCATTTCCATTCCCATGATATAAATCCGTAGTCTTGGCATTCTTGACACATGATAAAGTAAATCAATATAAATGTATATAATATATAAGATGTATATATATTCCATGTATGTGTATGTTTGTATTTTCTCTCCCATCCATCATCTCCTTGAACCCATTTACCGCATAATACCACTCTATCCATCCCTCCAGGGTATACATATAGAAGAAAGGTCATGGAAAAAAAAAAGACCAAAACAGAAAGAAGACGAGACCAACACCAAGAAAGGAAAGAAGATATACTCAAAAAGGAAGGGAAAAAAGAAGAGAAAGAAAGAGAGAGAGAGAGAGAGAGAGAGAGAGAGAGAGAGAGAGAAAGAAAAGTAAACGACGGATAGTCAAAAAAAAAAAAAAAAGAACACGGAATAACATGTAGCAAAGGAAAAGAAGAGGGGAGAAGAGGAGGAGTAGAGGAGGTTGGGGAGGAAAAAAAAAAGAGAGAGAAGAAAGGAAAGCAAAGAGAGAGAAGAGAAGAAGAAAAAACAGAAAGAAGTAGATGAGAGACGGGAAAAGAAAGGAGACTGCTACGTCCTGACCTTGTCCAGCTGCTCCTTCAACATCTCAATCTCCCTCTTCAGCTCTGCATTCTCACTCGTAAGCTGCTGCATGTGGATGATGGCCTTTTCCACCACACTAGCCTTGCTCGTCGTCGAGTTGACCTGCTTAGCCGCCTCCTTCTCCCTCTCCTTCTCCCTCTCCCTCTCCCCCTCCTTCTCTTTATCCTTCTTGATGCCGCCGTCGCCGCCGTCGCCGCCGGCCTCCTCGTCCGGGCCGTTGCTGCCCGGCGGCTTGTGCTCCTCCGGCAGCAGCCCGGCCATGACCTGCAGCGCCGAGTTTATCCGGTTGCGCCTCCCCTGCTCGGCGATCTTGTGCGACGTCCGCTTCGACGTCAGGTGGCTCGACAGCTCCGACGGGTACGTCACCCCCGGCACCTGGTTGCCCTCCAGTATGTTCTGGTAGTTGGACTTGGACATGAGGAGCTGGTGGGACGCCTCCGGCATCTTGGAGTCGCCGCCGGGGAGCAGAGGCTTGATGCTGGGCGAGATGCGGGGCAGCAGCGCTGGCGACGCGTGCGCCGAGCCCGTCGACCGCTTCCTACCCGTATGCGGCGCCACCTGCGGCCCGAGCTGTGGCGTCCTCCGTGCTCCGCTCGGCCCCCCCGGCTGTATCATGGGGCTCTGGCTAGCCGATGCCGTCCCCGACCGGCGCGGCGTGGCTGCCGGCGACGGCGGTGGCTTCTGCCTCGTCGGCGGCGCGGTAGAGGTCCTCTCTGTCGAGGGCACGATGCGCGGAGACTCCCTCGGTGTCGGTGTGGACGATGCCGACTTGAAGTGCGACTCGGGCAGCTCCAGAGACTCTATACTGTCCGTGGCCGTCTGCTCGTGCTGCCCGACTGCGGCCTTCTTCGACCTGGACGCTGGCAGCCGCATGATCGAGGCCGGTGTGGCGGGGTGGGCCTGGGCCGGAGGCGTGCTCCACGGCTCCGACGTCGAGGGATCCGAGGTGACGTGGGCGTTGGCCGCTCCCTGGGGCCGCATGTACGGCGACTTGCCGGCGCTGCCGGTACCCTTCCTGCTGTTCGACGGCTTCCGCGACGGGACCGGCGGCGGAGGCATATCCGTCAGGTTCTCGGGCGATACCGAGGCGTTCTCCTCGGAGCCGTCGGTCAACATCGACGCCGCAGGTAGCGGCAGCATGGTGCTGTCATTTTCGGCACCGGGGGGGAGCTGGCCGTGGCTGCCGGTCTCGTCGACTTCGCTCAGGACGTGCGACACGATGGCCGGACTGGGACCGGCCTTCCTACGCTGAGGTTTGGTGATGGGGGAGCTGCGGACGCCCTTGGATCTCGACTTGGCCGCGCTGTTCTTGCGGGCCTTCTTGGAGAGCTCGAGGGTGGCGGCGGCGGCGGCGGCGGCGGCGGCGGCGGCAGGCTCGAGGTCCATGGCGACGGGGGAGTTGTCGGAGTGGGTGCTGGCGTCGTAGACCGAGTTCGAGTCGTTCTGGGCGTGGAGGGCCGGCGAGGTGAGGGGGCTGAAGTAGGCACCGGGCATGGCGAACGCGTTCTCCACGCTGAAGTGGGGGTCCAGAGGGGTGACGGCGGGGGAGACGAGCGGGGTGAAGGCCATGTCGTGCCGCTCCTTCAGGGGGCGCTGGTGGAGGGAGCTGGAGTCGTACAGGTCGTGAGCCTGGGGGAGGTGATCGGGATGGCTGTAGAAGTGGCCGCTGCCGGGGGGCATCTCGAGGCTCTGGGGGGTCGGGGGCACCGAGTGGTTCTGGGTGGTGAAGTAGGCGTTGCGCTGCTCCTGGAGCTGGCGCTGCTGCTGCAGGAACTTCTGCTGCTGCAGGTACTGGATCTGGGCGTCGATCGTCGAGATGGGGTCGGTGTTGGGGGCCGAGATGGGCATCATCTGGCTCGGGACCGTCGTGGTTGGCGTCGCGGTCTGCGGTGTCGACGTCGTAGTCAGGGTCATGGAGTCAGTCGAGTGCGAGTGCGAGTGCGAGTGGGCGTGGGCGTGGGCATGGCCTGGATGCATCATGGGGTTGGCATGATCTTGAGAGGCCATGAGTGTCTGGTTATCCGAGCCATTCTGGAAGGAGTTGAAGTCGAACTGCATGCCGTCGCCGATGTTTGACATGTCGAGGAAGTGACCGAAATCATCGTCCGAGGCCCCGCCCATGTGGTGGTCCTGGCCGTCCCATCCACCGGAACTCATCATCCTGTCTCGATTTTTCCACTCTTCTTCTTCTCTTCTCTTCGTTATTCCTTGCTCTCTTCAATATAGTTTTCCAATGCTTCTTTCAATCGTTTGTATCACCCTCAGGTCTTAGTATAGTTGTCAAGCGAGTGAGCGAGAAAGAGAGAGAGAGAGAGAGAGAGAGCGACAAAACAAAACAAAAAAAAGAGCGACGCAGAGGAACAAGTGAGGGGAGGAGGAGAGGCGGCCTCAGCCGCGAGAGAAGCGAGAAGCGCGTGCAGATGAATTTGGATGGTCGCTATGGCCTCGAGACGACTGCCGGTGATGGGAGAGAATAGAGAGGATAGGGAGAAAGATGTCGTCCGCGCTCTTTTCCTCTTCCCCGACCGGAGGGGAGAAAAGTCGAGGAGCGGGCGTGGTGGTGGGTTCTCGGCCTGGTATCAGCTAGTCAGGAAAACGTGGTGGGTGCGGGTCGCTCTGCAGAAGAATGAGGATTTGTGGACGAGCTTGGAAGTAGTCGTGGGGAAGAAAGTATGCAGAAGAATCCGTGCAGAAGCAGACAGGCAGACGTCGGCCGTTCTCTCCGCGGGAGGCTGGGAGGGTAAGATGAGCCTAGTATGAGTAGAGTAGTCGTCGTCGTCGTCGTAGTAGTAGCACGGAGAGTCTCAGCCGTATTAACGTACGAGCAGTGTGATGGTATAATACATAGTCAGTACAGTATTTTTTTTTTTAGGCCAGAGAGCGGTCGGTGGATGGGGATGGTCCGTGTGGGTGGCTGTAATTTTTGGTGGGGTCGATGAGGTGGAGTGATAATACTCATAAATGGAGCACGAGTCAACAGTAATACAGAAAAAGAAAAAAGAAAAAAAAGGGCGGGGGTCGGATGGATGGATAGATCGTCTGTTCGTCTGTTGACGACGGGTCGTTCGAATCGAAAAGGTACACACGTCCAATCAAGAGAGATGGAGGGGTTAGACGGAGGGGGGGAGAGAGAGAGAGGGAGGGAGGGAGGAGGGGGAGTTGACAAAGAGATGGAGAGGTCACTCGTAGTTGATAGGAATATCTCATTGGTCAGAGCTGGACGATTACTGTAGCCGTGTAATCTGTAATCTGTACAGATTACAGATTACACGCTACTCATACGGCGATGATGCACTCGTAATGTCCCGATACAGGGAAGCCACTGATACTAACATCACTAGCCTTCTGGGAGACCAGATTACTGTACAGATTACTAAGTGCCGTGTCGCTGGCAAGTAATGCAGAGTAATACTTACTCGCTGTGATGCTCCGTAAAGCAAGACTCGTGCGTCTCCGAGAGCGAACCCTAACAACTGACTATCCAGAATCTGCTCGCTCTCATGATACTCACAATGGACCAACACACACACACACTCACACACACACTCACTCACTCACTCACTCACTCACACTCGCACACTCGCACACAAGTACAGATAGATTACATCGAAGCAACATTGTCTTGAAACTGACCACTAAGCAACCCATTTTGCTCCCGGAGCGCCGCCATCTGGGCAGAAAACAAGAAAACATATAAAGTACTTTTTTTCTTCTGTCTCAATTCCCCATCTTCTCTTCTCTCTTCCAATATCCAAAGAAAAAAATGTGAGAAGAAGCCCAGTCATGTCCCAACACTGATACTCCCATATCAATAATAATAAATTACCACGAGGAACAAAACAAAAGACGTGGTGGTGTCGACAGCATGTAACGGTAACAACAACAACAAGACTGAAAAGAGAGAAAAGAGAGAAAAGGAAATGAAAGGGGAAATAAATTTGTTCAAGAAATGACCATGCTGACAAGCTAGCGTAATGCAAGTCGAAAGTAATAGTAAAATAGCGAGAGGGGAAAAGAGAGAGGAAAGAGACATGGAAAGAATGAGGTTAAAGAGAGAATAGAAGATATACCAGTGAGTGATGCCTGCTGGCGGGTGAATATGTGCGTAACATAGGATATGTGCAGTCGGGGATTCTTGCAAAAAAAAAAAAAAAGGGGGAGAAAAGGAAAAATGACGATGCATAGTAGGGCGCGGACGGAGAAATGCTGTTTGTCCTGGCTCGTCTTCCTTCCCCCTCTAGAGGAACAGATGACCGTGAAAGATCGAGAGGAGAGATCCTGCAGCAATAGCAAAGGGAAAAAAAAAAAAAGGAGGGGGGGTATCCATCACAAGGGCAGGTGCAGGTAAACGATAGGAAAAGAAGAGAGAAGAAGAGGCAGGGTATGTATAGAGACAGAGAGAGAGGGAGAGAGAGGGAGAGAGAGAGGTCGTATCAGACCTCGGACCATCATCACCTTTGGGGTTGGTCGCCAAGGTTGAGCCAGCTCATGTCGGATGATTTCGATGCCTGGACGAGCTGAGGCTGTGTGCTCACGCCGCTGGGGACTGGCCGCCTGCCACCCGGAGGGTTGAATGAGCTCGCATTGCTCGTGCCTCCGTACTCGTACACGCTGCTAGGCGCACGCTCCGTGCCCCACACCTTGGACTGCTCGCCAGCGTAGGACGGCACCCAGACGTCCGTCACGCTCTCGGGGATGCCGCTCGAGTAGGCCCCCATCGAGGCGACCGAGTTGGACCGCTCAATCTTGCCGGCCACCCCCTCGCCGAACGGCAGGTCCTGATGGCCCGTCACCACCGGGCTGCCCGAGTTGACACGGCTCATGGCTGTCAGACCCTCAAAGTTGAGAGGCGGTACCGTGGCCGAGTCCTGCGTCACCCGTGGGTTGAGGTTGCTGGTATTGGCGTTGTTGGTCATGTTGGTGTCAACCGTCAGCGAGTACTTGGAGCTCCTGTCCGTGTCCGTCGCGACCGTGCCGCGCTTGGCACCGCCACCACTGATCCCGATAAGCATCTTGGCGCTGCCGCTCGACCAGTACTTGTTCCAGCCCGAGCTTCGCCTGGTGCCGTCCCCGGATACGGCTGCGCCGCTCCTCTGTTGAGGCGGCACCGCAGCCACGCTGGTGTCCACATACGGTCCCTTCTCGTAGTCCCTCGTGTCGTTCGGGTCCTCCTGGGGAATCGGCTTGCTGATGAGGCTCTTCATGTCCTTGTAGCGCGAGGCGGCTGGGCCCTCGTTGGCCACCTTCCTGGGCGCGCCCGAGTTCTGCTGATTGGCGCGACCCATGAGGATGGCCATGGAAGAGTAGGAATCCGACGAGCCAGTCGGTCGGTGACCACGGATGTTGCCAGCAGGGGGGTTCCTGAAGGCCTCGAAATCCTTCTCACCGCCGCCCTCCCTGTCGTACTTGGAGCCACCGGCGGCGGCGGCGGCGGCGGCGGCAGCGGCCTGCCTGTCCTTGTTCCTCCGCCGACGGAGAATCAGGAGCACGAGAACGAGAACGGCCAGCAGACCGAATATCGACCCCAGGACGATGCCGAGGATCGTGTTGGACGGAAGGCCATCATGGCTCGACTTGTCGGCCGATTCTCCACCTGCGATCGACCCAGGATCGGTACTTGTGGCGGTAGCAGACGAGGATGTCGACGTCGACGACACTGTTGATGTCGCGGTGGAGGAGGATGTCGTTGATGATGATGATGACGATGATGATGACGAGGTGCCAGAAGAGCTGACATCCTGGATCGAGGATTCCTTCTCGGCCAGGACGTCACTGGCATCGAGCCAGCTGTTGTCGTAGGCATCAAACATGGACAGGGGCTCCTCGGTGCTGCCACCGGTAAAGACGACAGTTCCGTCCGAGCCTTGAGCGATGCCGTAGTTCTCGCGCGTCACGGTCGATGCCATGGTCGAGTTGTAGTCGGGCCAGTCGCTCTCGGTCGACTGGCGCTTAGTCAGGGCAGGAGATGAGCTGACGGGTTTGCCCGAGCCGTCTTGGAGGACGAATCGTTTCACGTCGTTGGGCGACACCGTCATATCAAAGAGGTACAGGTTCTCGGAGCTGTCTCTGCCCTTGACCAGGGCACCCTGGATCTGGGTCGTGTCCTTGGCAATGGGTTCGGCCAGGGTGGCGCCGGTGTTGGTCCAGCCGCCAGCCGTCTTGAAGACATATACTGCCGTGTTGGAGGCACTGCCGCCGACCATGATCGTTTCCGCGTCGCTCATCCGGAGCAGTATGGGGCGAACCGAGTTGGGGGCCGCCGACGGGTAGCTATCGACCTGGTAAGGCTCTGAGGTGTGGATGGTGAAGGTCTCGGCGGTGGGCACCTCGTCGCCGCTGGTGGACCCAGCAAACATGAGGATCAGGTCGTCAGACTGGATATACGAAACGGCGTGGAACCGCCGGTTCTCGATCATTGAACCTTGGGGCGTCACAGTCTCCCATTTCCCGGTCGAATAGGTAAACTTCTGCAGGCCGGTGGTTCCTCCGGTTCCTCCAACCACCCAGAAGCCTGCATCGTCGGAATCGGAGGGCGTGGTTCCGACGCAGGCAGCACCCTCAACCGGCTCGCCCATGGCAAGCTTCTTCCACTCTGCTCCCTCCTCCATGCTGAGGGACTGGAAACCGTCGGATGAGTAGACGTAGAGGGTGCCATCGCGGATGGCGGCGCAAGAATTGTCGATCGAGATCGGAGGCTTCGGTTGTTGAGGCATGATGGGCGCCAGCTCCCTCAAATGTAGGGATATTTTGCCCCCGGGGACGAAGAACAGCTGGGAGGCGGTAGCTTAGACGAAGCGTGCTCACAGTTGCATGACGATGATACCGTGTAGCCTGAACGGGGTATACGGTGTCTGCTTTCGGCAGATGTCGTTGAGCAGTAAGTGACTTCCTCTCTTGTCCAATATCAGGAAGGCGAACCCGAGACCAGACGGACCGTTGCGGTGGCCGGTAAAGAAAATCAAGTATATCGATATCGTCTGTCGCGTGAGAATGCGCGTGCCAGCAGCAACAGCAACGGGAACAAGGGATGGCAAATGTCGTCGGCGTTGTTGAGCGGGACTGCTAGCGGCGACGCGAAGAGGACAATATCCTAACTGGCATCCGTTAGGCTCGATGCCAATGTATGCCACAAGCCAACGTGGGGAACTGCAGAATATCGTTCTGGGTGCACTCTGGGCCAAAGGGAGAGAACGAACCGGGTAAGAAGAGGAATGTGAAAGTGCCGTTCCTGGGCGGGTCAATAGACAGGAGTGAGACCAAGATGGACCAATATGTCGATATAGTCGCCTTATTCGTGCCAGACGGGAGCGCCACGAACGAGATGCAAAAGAAGGAAGGTGAGCAGGAAGTAAAGATGGAAAACGAGAGAAACAAGCAAAAAGCTAACAAGGACACACACACACAAAAAAAAAAAAAAAGGAGGAAGGGTGTATGCGTATGGCAGAGACGCAAACAAGGGAAGGGAAAAGAAACAAGATTTCGGGAAGGAAGAGGATGGGTGAGAGAGGGAAAGAGGAGGAAGAGGAGAGAGGAGCAGGAGGTACAGGCAGGAGGAGGAGGCGGAGGCACGGCGCTTGGAGAGAGGCTAGGAGGAGTGTCCGGACAGGTACAGGCGTAATAATGCCGGGATATGGACGGGTACGAGAGAGTACGAGTGCTACGTCGTACTCGTCCGTACGGAGAGAGACTACAGAGTACATGTATCGTAGAGCAGTACTCGTACTCGTACATTGAATCGAAGCCATGTCACTCGCACTACAGATATCACGATGGAGTACATACATGTATGAGCCAAGGAAAAGGAGGCAGGGACCCGAGGC